AGAGTGTACTACATTTGGTAAAATCAGTCTTATCTTAGCAAGCACTAGCCCCGCCCACCCACCCTCTCTTATCTTAGAAGGTATATCATCTGCCAAAATGTTATTTCAACAGCTACTAAAAAAAATAAAAGATGAAAAATAGCAACTTGGTTTATTAATAATAATGCACAACGATTAATGACTACCGGTTGTTATACTTATTATCTTGAAAAAAAACAAAAGGAGGATTTCAGTCACCATCGTTACTCAGAAATCAGAAGGTAAGCCGGAGATATTCACGCCCACCCGCCCTCTCTTTTCTTAGAGTGTATATCATTTGCCAAAACAGTCTTATCTTAGTAAGTATTAGGCCTGCCCACCCACCCTCTCTTTTCTTAGAAGGTATGTCATCTGCCAAAATGTTATTTCAACATAAACTAAAAAAAATTAAAAATAAAAGCTTGTTTGATTAATAATAATGCACAACGATTAATGACTATTGGTTGTTACGGTTATTATCCTAAAAAAAAAATTAAGGTGGATTTCAGTCACCATCGTTAAGCTGGAGGTATTCACGCCCACCCACCCTCTCCTTCCTAGAGTGTATTTCATTTGCCAAAATCAGTCTTATCTTAGCAAATACTAGCCCCGCCCACCCACCCTCTCTTTTCTTAGAAGGTATGTCATCTGCCAAAATCTTATTTAACGGCTATTAAAAAAATAAAATATGAAAAAAACAGCTTGTTTTATTAATAATAATGGACAAGGATTAATGACTACTGTTTGTTATGGTTATTATCCTAAAAAAATAAAAGGTGGATTTCAGTCACCACCGTTACTAAAAAAATCAGAAAGTAAACCGGAGGTAGTCACGCCCATCCGCCCTCTCTTTTCTTAGAGTGTATCTCATTTGCTAAAATCAGTCTTATCTTAGCAAGTACTAGCCCCGCCCACCCACCCTCTCTTTTCCTACAGGGTATGTCATTTGCCAAAATCTTATTTTAATAGGTACTAAAAAAAAATGAAAGATGAAAAATAACAGCTTGTTTTATTAATAATAATGCACAACGATTAATGACTACTGTTTGTTATGGTTATTATCCCAAAAAAATGGAGTGACGTCATCAATTTTTTAGGGGGGGATGAGCAAATACATTTTGACCAAAAATTTACCATGATAACTTTAAAACATCTCCAAGAATTCAAAGGATTCGGTTTTTGTAGTTCCTGATTCATCCCCAGACCTTCAGTAGATAAATGCTGGTTAGCGTTTTCTGGTCTTTCAGTGTCAAAATAGTTTGAAATTTGATAGATTTGGATATTATCCATCGAAAAAATTACAACTGCACATCGGTGACAACAAATGAAAGTATAAAAGCTGATTTGTACACAATGCCTACGATAAAAGCTCAAGGCGGATTCATAAACCACACTTACATGACTATGTTGTTTTATAAAATTTCAACTGCAAAAGCTACATTTTCGTATTCTATCACCTCTGAGACCCAAAAAAGTGGGGCATTTATCTTATAGTACTTGCCTCTGGTTTCGGTTGAGATTTCCGAACGGAAAATAGACATTTTTAATAAAAACAGAAATAATGGTCCTGAGCTGGACACAAAGAACTTTTATTACCGATAAAACATGATATTACTATCTCAAAAAAGTTATTGTATCCTGGATGCAAGTGTTGCAGGAATTTCCCGAACAACATGACGAAGACGACAAAAATTGATACATTTAAAACAAAGCTTTTGGATAATCTCTCATTAAAAAGATATTTTATGCTAGACCGGCTACGAAGTGTTTTGATGACATCAATATTTATTTTTGTGTATATATTCATTGTCAACATTCACTTAATCAGGAACCATTATCTCACCAAGTATTTGACATTTCACTTAATAACGAAAATTTTGAAAATGCGCGGTCGTGTCGTGTACAACTAAAAAATTGGTGCTCAGATTGTCACTTATGATTAAATTTTAAAAGAAATAATAAATTCATCGCTGCGATGTTTCAAACTTTCATACATATTGACATCCATAATTTACACTCCGTTCGAAATCAATATCGTTACATCACAAATTTCATCGCTAAATAAGTAATTTGTAATTTTCATTCACTGCTTTGTATAAAAATAGCTCCACAGAAAAACTAATGATAGACAAAGAATGCAATAACAAGTTTTGAGTCAGCGGGTCCATCCCAGATTAGATATTATGCATTTTAATGATAATTCGTGCTTTCGTTGTTTTTTTATTTCGTTTTATTATTCTTAATGTCAGATTTATTAACAATATTGTTTCAATCGCGTTGTTATTAATTTACGTCACCTCATCCTTGACATATTTGTATTCATTTATAAGTTTATATAGATTTTGGAATTTTTAGATTTGACAGTTGCGTACATTACATGCTCCTTTACTGTGGATAATAATTGTCCCTATCTTATTTCCTTGACTATATTTTCAGATTCAAATATGTGTCCTATGCATTCAGCGATAAATGATGTTTTGTCAGTTATCACTTTATAAAATTCACTTTATTGCTTTGATTTTACAAATCATGTGTCATGTAAAATATTCTTGGCGTATGACACTCGACGTGTCGTAGGCAATTTTACAGGTAAAGTAATCTTTGTACTCATAAAACTGCCATTCAAAATCCCTTTGTAAAAATATTCGAATACACATATCACTTGAAAAGTGACGTAAATTTGTCAGGTGACCCCAATTCCACGACTTTAAGTTTTCAGTTTATCAAATTTGTCCGACTAAACTTCATTTGAAATTATAATGGAGTGCTGAACGCCAGGTCTAGTCCAAGCTATTCGTTATTTGTTAGTATCAATTATTTCGGATTTAGCCGATTTTCTGTCCTTTTCAGGATTATATTGTCGAGGAAAGACATCACCTTGAATACAAAATGAGTAGATTTAATAAGTTTTACAATAAAAACTGCGGAGTCAATATTTATCCCGTGGTAAGTAGTCATGCAACCATTCTTACTTATGGATTTATTAATTACTTATGAAATTACTTTTTTATGTAACATCAATTCGAACAAACCCAGATCGTTGTTCTGAATTAAATTAATTCACAAACAGTGATGTTCCTATTATTTAATTAATCAATTAATTAATTAGTTAATTAATCAGTAGAGTGGCGCTAGTGTCGCATCTTCGCAAACTCCACACCACCGCTTCATCACCTGTCGTTAGAGAAGTAAGAGTTGTTCTCATGCTTAGAAGTTGGAGTAACAACGATAATTCAATCAAAGACTAAATAGTTCCCAATTCTCGATTTATCGTCAATATTACAAGCCCTTTCCAAGTAAATTTCGACATTTACAAGGCCGCACAATCGGAGGGTGCAGATACAAATGTGATTCTACAATTATTACTAACAATTATTTAATAACAGTGAGCTGTGAAATTAATTAACTTAAGAAACCGCCAAAGTGTGTAGAGGAGATAGAACGAGAATGACATTTTGGTATAGATGGCGCTGCACCCATTTACCATAATGATTATCATCAATAAAATTAAAGTGACGTTTGGTGTCATTGTTGCCCACTTTTGGTATAGATGGCGCCAGAGAGGAAATATTTAAAAAACAAGTAATCTGGTTTGACAGCACCGTCCTGTTAATCTAATACGGTTATATTAGTGAATAAAGGGTTTACTCCTTCAAATAATACGGGTATTGTAACGTTTTGTATAATTTTAATTAGCTATTTAATTAGCAGATGCTCCGAAAAGCTTTATAATATGGGGTAAAAGTTAAATTTATCCGATTCGTCCAGAGATTATTGTAATATTAAAGCTTCAAATTTAGAGAACAGAATAACGCTCTAAATTGGATTAATTTTGCAAAATGCTAAAGCTAATCGAGTGGCACCCTTGTTTTTGAATATCATTTTGCTAATAAATTACGATCAGTATTTTATTTTGGTTAAACGAAATTTAAAACGGTTAGCAAGCGTCGGACGGAGAGTGCACCCGGGCACCGAAATATAGTAGCTTGGTCCTGAATATTAACATGTTCTTCAGCCATCCTTTGTGGAATCTCAAATTTGATAACGATCGTTTTAAGTACGTTTTAAAGAAGGCAATATAGAAGTGGTCGAGGTTGTGAGTGACAGGTTTTGTTCGTCTGTCCGACGCCCGCAATAGGAAGTCGATGTGCAAAAAGGTGGACCTATGGATTAGTGAAAGGGGTCGAAAATGCGATCAGAAGCATCACAAGGACCAAAGAAAACTTGGTAGAATGGAACAAGAGTGGAGTAGCGACGAAACTTTAACAACGGCGCCCATCATCAAACGATTATCTCCGACTCATACCGACGTCTCGGTAATAACTGCACGTTTTAATTTATTGCGGCGGTGAAACCGGCCTAAAAATTACATAATGCGACAATTACCCATGATACCCAAGTTTCCCTCGATCCCGTATTTTTCAACGCATATTTCAGACCTCCGAGAGTTTCACGGAGCAGCCGGGATTAATACTAAAATATCCCCGGAATAAATCAGATCGGCGAAATTTCAAACGCCGAATCACCTTGTCCGTCCGATCATACGGCGCTAATTGGATTTAATAAGGCCGCGATTAGCAAATGGACGATTTAATACATTATTAAATTAAACGGGATCAACGAAAACTCCAGCAAATTAGCATTTCGCTGACGTTACAGAATCCGCGCAAAACCGGTTTGCGCGCTCGAATCGCGACGGGCAACCGGTTTGCGAGCGGCGTCAGCCGGTTGCTCGTATTAAACGATAAAAGTAGAAAATCGACTATGTGTGTGTTTTAGTGTACGTTGATGGAATTTTTTCAGACTTGTGTGTGTAAACAAGTTAATTTGCGGTTGCCGCTCTTAATTTCAATTATAAGTACGCGAATTTGAAGCGGCATAAATTGAAATGAGCGGGAGCCGTGTTTGTTGTCGCAGGTTGGTGGAAACACGCATCCTGGAAGCGGCGGCGGGGTATCGACGGAGCGCTCCGGTGCGATTGGAGTTTTCCGTAATGTAGTGAGGGCGGCGTCGGCGCAAGAATGCAACCCCCAAATAGATTAGGCCGACTCGGGGTGTGTACTACAGCCTAAACGCCACCGGTACAATTCACCCTTGCTCACGGTTCTAACGAAATTAACATGTGAAAATAGCAGAATCGAGTGACTCTTCGACCGGTAAAAACTAGGCGAAACGATGCAAGAGCCGACCGTAAATCAAGACTGATCAAGATGCCCCTTCGATACCGCTTAACCCTCGCAGATTGACCGGAAGTAGTGTAAATTTGTTGTGAACATGGTGTGTGAGAGTCTTGTGCGAAGTAGGACCTTCAAAAAACTATTTTATGTGATGATTATTTTGTTCGTTAGAATTTATCCAGTATTCATGGATCAGGGAGAAGACATCCCCCATAACGAGTAAGACTACAATCTTATAACCCTCTGACGTAATAACCTGCTCAAAATACGCAATTAAAGCCGCGGAGCTCGAATTTTTCCCCCTCTTTGCCGAGCTTTGTGGCTGTTCCTTTCAATCAACCTCGACCGAAACACAATTTTTCCATTTTGCCAAACTTGTACATCAATTGGAATTTGTCCGAACGAAACAACTTCATTAAATAAGCGAAAATCTGAATCACGTGTAAAACTTCCGGGTGGTAGTCATCCCCCAAACGTGACAAGCTTAGTAACTATATTTTACCCCCATAACCTAATAAAACTGATATTTGACAAGCACATACCACGATTTCGCTTATTGCAACTCCCGACGACAAAAATTATTATTTATTCGCCAAAATTACTTATTGTGCAGCGGTATCAACACCACCATAAAACTTTTATTTGCTTATGATTAAGTCTTTGCACCTGTTTATGTTCAAAAACGCTTTTATTTGCATATTATACAAGATACTTATTGATTTTGTGTTCTCTGGAATTTAATGGGGTTCTAAAACAAAATCACCGAGAAAAACTCTTACGGATAATTTTCCAGTCCCTCTTGAGAGAGTCAAATTTTTACTAAATCGTTGAAATCGGTCGTCGTTTTTTATATAAAATCGACTATACGGTAGGCGGCACTTTGCCATACATGTTTTGTTTGTGGCTATTATGAACGTGCTTACTTTGGCATAATAAAATTATAATCCGGCTTTTTGTACTTTTTAAATTGTGTCGTTTGTCACCCAAGCAATAAATTTCGCGAAACGCCGTACGCATAAGAATGGTTGTGAAGTTTGTTTTACAGACATTTGTCACAAAACAATGCTGTAATGTTCGCATATTGAACTACTTGCTTCATAATACGTGTCTTATTCGCATATTTCGAATGCAAAAACGGCACGCATAACATTCATACAGTAATAAAACGTTACTATAATAATAATAATAATAACAAGCGTGTTAATGAATCGAAAACCTCTGAGAAACTAAGAGTTTCCTTGCGGAAAATAGCAAATAAGCTTCTTTTTCTTTATTACCAACACTTGATTGTTCTTAGCTATGTTTAATGGCAGCTATTTGCCTCTAATCACCTTCTACATGTTTGCCATTAAGTCTTTTAATGCGGCCGCCATTGCTATTTAATAATAGTTGGAAAAGTGTGCTTCCATGGCAAGTTTTTCATTAATTATAACCAGTTTTTCAAGACCTTTGCATTCTCTTCGATGCGTCAGTTTATTAAAACGACATTTTATTAAATTTCATTTTATTGTACACAACTGTACAAACGGATCTCACATTTATTACATTCTTTCAAGTTCTAAGCCACGCGAAACTAAATCTCTAATACCACTCAAACACAAACACGAAATTCAATCTTACTGTCATATTCTCGTCAAATTATTACAATTTTTTTCTCTTTCATCCCCTTTTCAATAAGACGAAACTGCGACGAAACGCAGAACAGGTGAAAAGTTACTCAAATTCGCTTGAGCGAAACATCCAATCTCGCAATACTCACGCACAATAACCAATAACTTACATATTTTTCTCGACAAAGAATGTTCATTAAACGAATTCAATTAAACGTGTCGTCGCTGTCGATATTTTTACGTCGGTTTCACCAAATTAAAAATTTTCATTTTGCTTTTATTCGAGCTGAAAAATTATTTACGCACTCGATCGCTTATAAGCGCGCTAATGCGAGTTAATTACTAATCTATTTGATGGGATCTTTCATAAAGAGGAAATAACACACGATGGAGATACGCGCCAGATTGTCAATTGTCGATATACACACTTAATAAGTTTACCTTGTTTAGTTACAGTTTCAAGCTGGTTTTCAGGCACTAACACATTAATTTCCAATTAGTCTCACCCTACTAAAGGTAACGCCTGCCACGCCGCACATTTCAATGAGATTTACGACGAAATTCCAAGATGACGTCATCAATTTTTTCAAGAGGATCAACAGAATAATATTAAATAGTCATCCAAAACGTACTCTATATACCTCTGAAATTGTCATTAAACTTAACTTTTACCCTCCACTATAAAAGAAAACTAAGACGTGGATTAATCGGTACGAGTATTTTCAAACACGAAAACTCAATTTCCAATTCCATTTAAAACGTGATTTACCACCAAATAATTTTTATGCTCAAGATCACCCCTTGAATTCCGCATGTAATCAAAAACGAGAACAGCAGGATGCTTAAGTAAGTACACAGAAATCAAAATTTAAACGAAAGTGTAATCACTTTCGCAAACTGTAATTCCTTCAGCAAAGTTTGTTTTCCACCAGAATGACAAAAAATATAATCTTACTTAAAGATCGATTTCCGGGCACCAAAATGATACTTGTGAACAGAATTCTCATTACCCTCTGGGGTCGAATGTTCCGGTGTTTTTCCTGCACTATGTTTCAGTTTGTTTTAATCATTTTCAGAAGCGTCGTTACTGAAACTGTACTGTCAGGATTTATGTTAAATCACTAAAATAACTGCTGTTTGGAGTTTGTCGTTTGTCAAACATAGAAGAAAATTACACACAAACTCCTAAGTAACACAACCGTAAGTACAAACACAAATTCCACCTCGACGACCATTTACTCATTGTCACTCTAGATAAATTCAGTTGTCGCCTTTGTGTACTCAGTCATAAGGGGCACAGTTGTCTAAATTGTCGACATGTCGACGCTATCGCGTCTCTGATATTGTAAAATAATTAAATATATACTTTTAAAATTAGTTGAGTATCTCTTGTTTAAAATTCTGTTGGTATCAGTTTAAATGACTTGATCACGATGGCATTTTTGTATTAAAAATTCCGCGCGCGTAACCAGTTATTTACTAACAAACATTTGGCGATTATTAAATTCGATTTCCTGTAACGGGTTATGTGAACACTCCATAAAAAAGCGCTTATTTTGTAGCTTTCTTTCCCGTACTGAAAGTGGAAATGTGATTATTTTTGGTCAGACTTGTTCCTGATTAATTATTAAAATACAATAATTATTATTATTATTACACAAATGTCTTTGTTTTCGTTTTACGACATCGATAACCGTATTTGAACAAAAATTATTTAAACCTGTATAATACCCACTAATCGCATACTGTTTATAGTCAATTTTATTACAACATAACATTAATAAAAAGCAATTTGTAGAGTGAATACGACTAATCAATAAACCCATAAACCTTTGTTTCACATAATATTGATACGAATGAATTTTTTATAAGCAATTTTGGTAGCTTTGTTTAAGATAATTTTGAACGAACACAGACATTACATATAAATGACACGAACAAATGTGGTTAGCTTATTTCAGTATTACGTTGCCGTTCAGAAGGTAAAAAACATACTAACTGAAAACGATTTCAATTCACAGCCAACTTTAAATCAGTTTTTTTTTTCACACCACCATGTATATTAAAATCTGCTAGCGGATGTCTTGTTTTCCGTAAAAAATATATAAATAACTCATACACGAACAGCTACAATTCGAGTTTATTTTTATCGAAGAACTGTCAACCCAACTCTTCGACGAATCAAAATTGAAGTAGTGCACCTAATGATTTGTTTATACACCTGGAGCACTCCTGCATATTTAACAGTGATTAGTGGCTGCCATTTTTAAATATTTTATCATGTTTGAAGTGAATTTAGACACTTCCTGTGGTCAATTTTGTCTGTACAGAGTGTCTGACGTATTATTCCGCAGACGCCGTTGTTTTTACAACCAGAACAGAGTTCTCCAGTTTCCAGTTTGATTACGTTGGAGACAAGTATTCAGACTGTTATTTTCTCCTCCACAATTTTAAAAATGTAATTTAGAATAAAATTTCATATCAGTCTTTTTATAATGTATCGGCAGAGAATTTTTAATAATTCCGCTACAATTTTCTAAGAATATTGAACCCTTCCAATTTTGCATGCAGGCCGCGATGTTTTTCAGATATTTCATAAATTTGGCCGTTCTCCTTCACTTTGTCCCAATCTCTAAGATATTTTCGTGTGCTTTGTGCAAATGACTTTATTAAATCGTATATCGCACTAGTGTTTTAATTAACATTATTATTGCAATTGAGTTTTTTATTATCATGATTTGGCCAAAATCAACCAAAGTAGTGATAATAATAATAATACAGCGAAATAAAAGCTCTGCCATAATGGACTTAATGCTCCGATAAAATATACAAAGGTGTTTATTAATGTCACGCCATTTCCATTGATTATTTCCTTTAAAAGGGCTTTGTCGCGGCATGATTTAAATCATTAACAATTTTTGCTGTAACGTGAATTATGTCGATATTTTATGTGTTACTTATTCATAAAGTATTGCAGTATTGTGCTGAATTGAAATGAATAGTGGTTTTGACTTAGTGTTCATCGATTTACGTTGGCGGTCATAAGGTTTTTGCAGCGGTGGCTGTAGGCGTAGTTAGCGACGCGTCTGGAATCTCATTTCGCACACATATAATGAACAGTTTTCTCAACGGTCGTGGTAAAGGTAGCTTGCGTGCGTTTAAAACTAGCAGTTTCTACTTACTAGTAGATAGTGTAGTAAAGTCTCAAGTAAGTTAGAAATAATTAAAGTTGGAAATGAGGTTGGTGTATTTAAAGCGGGAAAGCATGTAGGCTGTATTTTGATTGCGATAACTTTTCTTTTCTAGCAGTTTGGTTGAAATTGGAGCAATTGTGTCTCGGGATGTTGGAAGGTAACATCTGTCACTTCGAAAACGAACTACAAGAATTAGTTTCGGGAATTTTTCGATACTTCAGTATTAGCGAAAACTCGTCTCGTCATTATAACTAAAGTGATTTGCTTTTCGCCTTAGCAGTTGCCATTAATTCTGAGATATAATTTTTCTAAGGCATTATTTTTTTCCTACTTTGCGCCGCCGTTCGCTGCAACCATAAATTTGCAGCGACTATGGGAAATTTATTCATTAGCGAGCAAACAAGCTCTTTATACTTTGTTGATTTAAGGTTAAGAGAAATCTCGCGTGAAAAACCATTGACATAATTATACCAGACGCGGCGCGTCTGTTGCCATTAGTGCCACCCCCATAACTTAGGGCAATTTTTAAAGATATTGTTATGTGTCGGGTCCAAGAAGTGATTCCCGTAGGACAGCAAGGGTCAGAGCATAAGACAGGAAAGGGTATGTTATGCCAGAGGTAGAGGGTGTATTGATCTACCCCTACTATCGTTCTTGCCAGGCTAGAGGGGACTATTCTTGCCTTTTAGATTGAGAAATGCCGTAATCTACAATTTTCATAATGCTTATACCTTCATAATTTTACAGCCCCAATCAATACCACGCACTAATGTGCTTCAATTTCGGCAAAATACCCACCGTTTCGCGCATTTTAATTCGCTTAACTCCCTTCTATAGATTTTTTGCTTCCACTCAACTGCGAGGTGATTTTTATACACTTTCGGCGTTTCAACATTCATAACATACACACAGGTTTGACGTAACCCGATAACTATCTCTGTCTTTTTTCTTTCTAGAGTAAGGAACTGGGCGCTCAAATTTGGAGTAGATTTGTGGCAGTACGGCAAATTGTTGACAAGAATGAACGAGTTACAGAGGGTAAGGATGCTTAAACAACGATCCCCATATATAAAAGTTGAGAGATCCAATTCAAACCGACGTTTACAGCTCACCCATCTCATACAACCAAATACAATAGCGTCTATGTTTTGGCGCATTTTCCAATAATATCCACTTTTATCTCCAAATTATTGGCCTTTGAGCAATTTTTACGTCACATTGTACAAGTGGAACCATCTAAGCATAGAATTTATCCGCTCCCTTTCCAATTAAAGCACACGAAGCTTATAAAATTTTCGATTGGCTCCACTGCAAAGGTATTCATGTTTAATCACTATACTACAGGACCTTTCAGAAGTCGCTTTCATCGCGTCGTGTAACTAAATTAATAGACCGATTTTGCATGAACGCTGACGTCGAGTTTTGACTAATTTTTTCATCTCAAAAATTCTGAAATACCCGACTAGCACTAATCTACTACGATTCCAACTGGATTTATTTTAGTGACACTAAAATGAAAACAAATGCTATTTTTTGTTAGTACAACGACTTCTCAGTTATCTAAAACTACTCCCAAACTGGATTAGAAGTGATGTAATAGGAAAGTTAACTGAACTGAACATTTCCGGCTATAAGACCCTCTCAGTTTAAACAATCTCTTATAAAACTAACTAACATACCCTTTGAGGGAATCATTCTCGAAATTAATCTCATTCCGAAGCAACCTACTTCACACGATGGTATTTTGACAAATTTCCACCAAGGTCTGATACGCTTTGAAACAACCAGTGAACAAAGCATCGCTTTATTTCGTCTATTTTATATTATTATTGTTTCATAACCACTAAACTTCTACGTGGACTACACTACTTACCTTATAATTAAACACATCGGATCGATATAAGCTAACTGCGCCGATTAAAGCCTTTTGTTTGAGAGGGAGACCAAACTGCGCCATCACGAATTTAGTGGTTCAATTTTACAACTAGGCCACTGATCTTTTTCAATCTTTTGTCAACACCAATGTAAAAAAGTAGACTAAGTCAATCTACAGACAAGTCCTGTTCTTGACGACAGGAGACAACCTAGGGACAAAGATATATTTCCACTTCTGGTGACATTTTTTGACTAGAAGGATATTAAAGAAGGTCGATAATGAAATTTTAAGATAAGTTTCACACAGACAGGTCCTGATTTTTGGCACCTTAAGTGTAAGGGGATTAATTCCTCGTCACTTTCAACAAACAACACGATTGTTAAAAAAGATTTGTATACGATTAACACAGACAAGTCAATACAAATGGGATTAATCAAGTAATTCGGCGCAGTTTGGTATTGTTGATTTAGTAATTCAAGTAAGTTAAGGCTGGGCTGACGTAAGCGTCATGGGTAACTAGAGAAATATTTAAAAAATCACCGGTAGGATAAGTGTTGAAAGATTTGTGTGCTAGTTGGGTATAAAGTGCGTCTGATTTAATTGTGTTCGTATCAGAATCTGAGCAACAATTTGAAACTAAAACAAATAAATTGAGAATCGCTATCTAGACGTGAGCATGCGGTTATTTACAGTGGAGAAGTCTAGTGGAAGTGATCGAATAAAAAGAAGATTCGATTGAAATGACAGTAATTGGTCCTGGAAGGTATACGAATCGAAATTCTCGGTTATGAGCTTACAATGAATATCGTGAAATTAACCCTCCCCGAATTTAATTGAATTTCCAATCTCGACGTCGTCGCTCACCATTATCCAATGTTTTTGTCATTTTTAGCTTTGTCTCATAAAGTATGCTCGCGGATAAATCTTGAAAAATTAAAAGTTTTTCAATAGAGTGAATCACACTAAATCACTCGAGGATTTAATAAGTTTGGTGGCAACGGTCGAAACGCCATTCATTTGATCCGAGCTCAAACAAAACCGCTTTTATATAAATACTCTAATCTATAATATCACAAGAGCTCTCCCAGAGGTAAATAAGTCTTTTGTGTTAGTGAATAATCCCGAAATATGTCGGTAAACCACGTTTGAAGCTTCCAAAGTTCCCGTAGGTCTCAGTTGTTTTATTATTAGAAGCTTTGGAGCTTGCGAGGATTTTATATGCTGCGCACTGTTGACCATCAAAATCAATTCCTTAACTTGGCTGTTTACAAACTAATTTATTCCAGAAATACCACGACGAAAATATTAAAGTTGCTCGAAAAGACGGTTTAATTTTAATCAGGGACATGGCGAAGGAGGTACAGAATATGATGAGTTTCAAAATTGAAGCGGTTAGGGTAAGTCGGGTCATATCCTTGCGTTTAATTCTCTAAACGCGACTTTTTCCCAGAGGATAACAGAGTCGGCCGAGCAGGCTGCGCTCACGCCACAAACAGATAACGGACAACCCTTCCGTTACTACAATGCCAAAAGACTGAATTCGTTTGGTCCTGATGGACGACCAGCTGAGGGTACCAGGGAAATGACGCTTACGCCAAATCCTCATTTTGACCACTTACCCGTTAACACTAGCCTTAGTACCGTATTAATCCCACCGAATGTAGAGGACTACGGTAAGAGAAACACGCAATTGAGAAAAAAAAACACAAATATTGTGTCCCCAGATGCGGAAGTTACAAACGCGATTCAATGGTCCGAACACTTAGATCCACTTTTTATACACAATTACGAAGACGATCCATCGCTCTCGTGGCAGTTTTTTGGAAGCTCCACCGGTTTTTTAAGAAGATATCCAGGTAAGGCAAGCAACTAGCTTATTAATATTTATTGGCTTAAATATTAAGAAAGCTCGCGGATCGATTAAAGTTCGTACGCGCCCAGTAAGCACAGTAACGTATAAAGAGACTAAAAAGAACGTTAACAGTGTTTACGATCATCCGCCAAATAAATTCATTTTAAACATAATTTAATGCGTTTTGTGTGAACGTAGACGACGTAATTTAAACCTACAGATTTTTTTTTTTTTTAAGTAAACGCTAATACCACACTGCTCCGCTTACCGGGGTTAACCTCTCGAGTTTAAGCCGGATTAAGCAGACGCCATCTATGAAATATGTAATGAATTAGGCACCTTTCTATCTCTACATCAACAATTTTAATTAAAATACCGACACATAGAAATGAAATAAGCGAGACATGACAAAAATTTATTAATTTCAAAACACATTATTAAAAGCGCGAGATCTACACTGGTCCCAGTCTTATACCCCAGTGTGTTTTTTTATTTATTAAAATTAAACAGCTACCCACCTCTTCAAACCAAAACGTACTAAAACTAACCAACACACAATGACATTACGTCAACTTCAAACGTGTTGTTCGTCAGACATCCTAAATGTATCATGTATCTCATGAAATGTCATGTCAGGGTGGAAATGTGTTTGACGTAATGTCAATTTCAAATCAATAACGCCAACGGTGCTCAGACACGGTACTCTATTTCGTTCAATTAATGCTAACTTTGGCAATCTTTGTCATTTCATAACTCGTATTTCTATCTTCGTCTCTCACTGACGCAGCACGTTAATATTACAATGCTTTACTTATTACCGGGGTAGGCTCTGGAATTTAAGCTGGATTAACCAGACGCCATCTATGGCATATGTAATACATTAGGCACATGTAGTTACAACAAAATTTTAATTAAAATAACGACCAATAGAAGTACAAAAATCAAAACTGGAAACATTGCGTCAACTTCAAACACGTTTTTTCATCAGAGACCTATGCTTTATGTGCCCATCATGTCTCTCGTGTTATGTCGTGTCAGATTGGAACTCTCTGACGAATAAATGTGTTTGACGTTGACGTAATGTCAATTTCAAATCAATAATGCCAATCGCAGGTCGTCAGGCACGGTACTGTGCGGGACTGCATTTGTTTTAATACACGGAGCTACTAATTTTAGTAACTTTTGGCTTGGTAACTTGTTAACTAAGTCACTAACCGGATACAACTTATCTTCTCCCAGACCAGAGAGTATACAATACTGTTTGCCTTCTAGTTTTAATACCAACACATTGGATACAATTTTGGTGCCTTATTTTATAACTATCACTAAATTTATGGACCTATCCAAATAGTGGTGTCGTTTGCACGCACTGTCAGAGTTAAAAAGGCAAAAATAGGACAAACCTTTGACACACTTAGCATTTATTCTATGCTAATGTGGCGCCGAAAACATTGTTTCTAGGCGGCTGAATCTAAAGTGCTGCTTGATCGACTGTATAATATAATACCGGCCCCAAAAAGTGGCCCTACCAAACACTCTCATTGTGAAAAATACAATCAAACGAGAGTGGCTATCATTATTATTTAAGGTATATTGTCAACCGTCAACATTCATTTTCAACTTGATAAAGTCAGTTGGTTTAACAATCTTTTGCATCTAGATCAGTAGTGTGTTATATGTTGTTCTTTTCGCCTATAGTATGCGAACTTTTTAACACCGCGGCACAATTAGTATGGAGCCGATTTTATAGTAAGCGGCACTTTTGGTCAAAATGTTGTAGCATTATTGTAATGTCATTACAACGTAAATAACAGGCGAAGATGATCCACGTCTGTAGCTTACTGGGTTGGTATAGAATATTGGCCTTTATTTATTAAGGAGAAAGCCCGAGGCGAATAAATTTCTTTCAGTTGAAGAGGAGGCAATTTTTCTTAATCGGGGTAAGAAAAATAGGGCGCTTAAGATCGTCGATGATCAAGCCCGAGCGCCAACGTCTAAATCGGGTATCGTTTGGTTGAAGTGTCTTCTCCATGTTGTAACCTTCTGATGGTGAACACATTGGGTAGACACAATAGCGAAAGGGAAAACTGCCTCTGCTGTTGTATAAATCGCACATTGACCCAAAATAACTATTAAAAATACATTCAACAGGTATTGCGTGGCCCCCTGAGGATATGTCAACAGTCTGGCAACGTCCCAGAAACTCGCGCAACGTTTACGATTTTCGATCCTCGGCATGGTACGTCTCTGCTGCAACTTCGCCCAAAGACATAGTAATCCTCATTGACAACTCCGGCTCAATGAGTGGTCATAAATCTAACCTCGCCAGAGCTACAACTGAATCAATTTTGAACACTTTGGGCGACAACGATTTCGTTAATGTTTACAAATTCTCAGATATCACTGAAGAAACGGTTCCTTGTTTTAAAGATATGCTTGTACAAGTAAGTTCTGACAAGATTCGACTTGCGGAATTTAATAAATTGTTTTAAGGCCAACAACGAGAACGTTCGGTGGTTGAAAGAGTCTCTGGCGACGTTTAAATCGGAAAATATTGCCAATTTCACAGCCGCGCTTGTTACAGGGTTTGAAATTCTACATAAAGTAAGAGAGCCGATGAGGCCGGGGCGATTATCTGACGCGGATTTATTGTTTCAGTATAATAGAACGGGCCAAGGGTGCCAGTGCAACCAAGCCATAATGCTAATCACTGATGGACCACCATCCAGTTACAAAGAAATTTTTAAAACTTATAACTTTCCCCACCATCCGGTTAGAATTTTCACGTATTTGGTGGGGAAAGACTCGAGTAGCGTGCACGAGATGCACTGGATGGCTTGCGCGAATAAAGGTAAAAAACGACACGAATATGCTCTTGGTTAAGGGTTAAAGTTACAGGATACTACACCCGAATCGAAAATTTTGACGAAATTAATGAAAAAGTTCTACATTACATTGAAGTTTTAGCTCGACCGATGGTGATGTATCAAACTGATCATCCCATCCAGTGGACACCCGCATATGTAGGCGGTCGAGTAAGTGCCATACTAATCAATAAGCTTAAATCCAAACTTGGATTTCAGGCTGACAGTTTTCTGAACGACAAAGTGGGCCAGTTGATGACGACCGTTACAACTCCGGTTTTTGATCGACGAAACCACACGGTACACACTTATGCAGAAAAATTAATAAACGACTAACACATACATTGTAGGTACGAGTCGCTAACCTACAAGGTGTGGTAGGGACGGATGTTTCGATCGATCAAATCAAAAAATTAGTGCCGCCGTATAAGGTACCCGACTTAGAATTTTCACAACGTGGAATAACCTATCCCTGTATTTCAGCTAGGGGTAAACGGATACTCGTTCATTATTAACAACAATGGCCACGTCTTGTACCATCCCGACCTGAGGCCCTTGGTAACTGTTCCCAAATCAGCCGTTCCATCTTTATAACCATCACCTTTTGCAGCAAAGTAACGAGCTATACGAGGACACTCTAGAACCTCAATATATCTCGGTAGACTTAACTGAAGTCGAATTAGTGGAAAATGAAAATGGGCCCCGGGAAAACCATTCTGTTCTCCTCGATGTAAGCCAACTTTGAGTTTTCTATCAATTATTAATAATTCCGTTGCAGCTGAGATTCGAAATGATCCAACAAAAAGAAGGGGAGACAGAATTAGCAGTAAAGATCCATTACGACAATGTGGTGAGTCTACACTGTAAATGCTTTATAGAAACACTAATTAACAAATTCCCAGCGCCGCGTTACAACCAGAAGGCATAAATATTTTTACACCCCAATTGAGGGTACGCCATTTTCCTTGGGATTAGCGATCCCTGAACATTATGGCATGTTTGAATTACTAGCAGAACAAGAAATCAAACATAGCCAAAGAAATGGTAAGTATCTATAAGCGACATGATGGCTTTGCAAATCTCTTTTTATTGTAGTTACCGACTATTTCAAGGGTAATAACTGGAAAGTACATCCCGACTGGTAATTACTTTTACATACAAGCAGCAGTTTCGTGTAACTTTATCGTATTTCAAGGGTCTATTGTGAGTATACGAGTGGTACTTCGGGCGAACAGTGGTTTAGAACGGCCGAAGAACGGGTCTTACATTTTTTGTCTAGAAGTCGACGCCCTGGATGGAAATGGATGTCTTTACGACCACGTTCACCGTCACAGCGCGAACATCACCATCAAACAACCAAAAAAGACAAAGATGCATATTTCTGTAACTTAGAAACCAAACTTGAAAAAAATTTATTACTTTGATACTTTCCAGGTGACAAAAATCTTGTACAATCGCTTGTTTTAGATGCCATGGTAACTGAAGAATTAGAAAGACACAATACACGAACAGAAGACACTCAGTAAGTTTAGAAAAAATATCGTGCATGCTTCTGTGACACTAATGTGATATAATAATGCACTAGTTTTAACGAGTTAATTTACTAATTTTCTCTGCACATTAGCCCTATTGGCACACTTTTACGACAGCTGACAAGGTAAAGCCATCAAGAAGATCCTAGTGTTGTCTTTTTGATAATTCCTAGAGAAAGAGAAGTATTTATTAATGGCGAAGCGTAATAGAGTGCAATATTTTGCAACAAGCGCACCGAATTTTCGTGCTTAGATAAATTGCCACATTAATATAGACTGAGTGACTTACTTACTTAACAATACTCTACACTTTTGGAACTAATGTCCTTTACAAATTTGTAATCTCCAAGGCTTAATATGTCATAGGAAATTAGAATCACCTTTGGAATTACATGCTACATTGTTTATTTGTTACAGAACGACTGCGCATGACATTCTCGTGGGTGAATTTTAACACCCACACTTCATGTTATTTTACACAGTAATAAAACCTCCCATGATCGAATTTTCCGTAAAACGGTTTCATTTTCTCGCATTGTGTGTCTTACGTACCACGCAAAATCACTGCGCACTTCATTATTACTATTATTAACCATCAGGGAATAACAAATGTGTCAATAACCGACATACGGTATCATTAACCGAGGAAATTTTGATCCAAATCATTTTGAACGTGTAAATTACCTGAAACAGAACACACTTAATTACATCTTTATATTTTAACACAACACAGTATAAAACCGCACCGCGATTACAAAAGCAATGACACGAAAATATCTTCGGTTAAATGTCAGATGTCAAAGTTGTTGATCTGAAGTGACTCAGATCCCGCTATTCTAGACAGACTGACTAATAATAGATGCACAAAAAACGGGATCGAAGCCACCTCCGGATAGAACAACAATTTGACATGTGACTTCTTCCGGCTGCCGTTTTATTGCTTCATTGCGACCGCTGTCCAATTTTTGTAGAAATTTAAGTTATGATTCGGTCAAGGATATTGTGTCCAAAAGTTGTTAATAAAAACACAAAAGATGAATAACTAAATCAACTAAATATTAGTACACTTTGATGACAACTTTTCCATTGTTAAGTATAATCTGTTAAAAGTCAAGTCAACAAAGTCACTGCAACTTATGAAGGTCATGGAAAACACTAGTCAAATCTGTCAAAAATGATAATTAACTTTACACTTGTATGAATGTAAAAATAACAAACCTCTCAGTTTATGAAAGTTCGTTAGATACACGTAACGATAGTCAAACTTGTCTAAGTTACCAAGTTACGTCATTCAGTACCAACTAAAATCAACAGGTCATTCATAGAATAGAATATACCCTTTAAAATCTAGATTTATGAATTTAAAAAGTACAACACAAAATTTTCACTGCACTCTTCGTCTATGTTTATTGTTCTACACGATTGATGTCGCCATTGATAATCTAGCAGTTATGTGTACTTAATTTTTTCCATAGGGTGTATTTACGTTACAAAAGATCTTCACCTTCTTTATCTTGGACTTGTACGCTTATGCTTTTTTGACGCAGAATATTGCACTGTTGTAGAAAAAATGTCCACCCATGTTGTAGTAAAAGCCACTACCTTAATAATAAATGCTTCACATTATTAATAGTCTATATAGTTTCAACCTTTTTAATATAATTGAAACACTGTATTTTTCCACTTTTTCTAAATTCTAATTTGCTAACCGGAGGAGTAAGTATTACAAAAAAGTGGAAAAACGAAACTATAAAAGAACTATAGTGTTGCAACAACAGAAAATCTAGGTAAACTGGGACCCGAGTAGTTCAATGTCTGCTAACCTATTTATTACTCGATTTTGCACCTTTCAGGTTACACTAGGTTTCTTTTTTAACTCTTGCTCACGAATTGAACCTAATACCATTCGTATTTCCAGGCAAGGGCATCAAATTTTTGGACTAACCTTAACATTCGTGGCTACAAGGAGTGGACTCCTTAGATGGACTGATCACGTCAGTCCGGGTGAAAAACCACCTCAACCGTAAGTTATTTTTCTAGTTTATTCTCACTAGAAGTGGCACCATGTAGTACACCCCCAAATCATACTGTTTTCAGGCATTTTAGCGAAACAAACGTGAAAGCAATGGACGAAACATGGTACAAACGCGCAGTTGATCAACATTCAATTGAACCCGAAAGTTTTGTCTTTTCGGTTCCTTTTGATAGTAATTTACAAGAAAATCCGCTGATCACAGCGACTCACGCAGTTTTTGTTGAACATAACGACCACAGGGTCCCCGCTGCGGTGGTTGGTCTACAATATCAACACTCAAAACTGGCGTCTCTCTTCCAAAATATCACCTCGAAGGTAACTATTTTGACACTTTTTCAAAAAATAATAATAATAATGACAATTGTAGTGTGCTGAAACGTGTCATAAAACGTGTGCCAGCGACAAACTCGATTGTTACGTGCTCGACAATAACGGTTTTGTAATAATTTCGGAAAAAACTGAACATACGGGTCAATTTTTTGGTCAGATTGATGGAACAATAATGGATTCTCTTGTGCAAGATCGCATATATAAGAGAATCACCGTTTACGACTATCAGGGTGCTTGTACTAATAGTAAGAGTCATTATAGTGCCGACGGTTATAAAGTCAAACCGTTTGATCCTATCAAATCTTTTTTCAAGTATTTGTTGAAGTTTTTGATTTTGTTGATGGCTAAGATACAAGTTGCTTACGGGACTGCAATTGCTTACGCCCAAGACGAAGGTATGAAACAATCCTAACCCCAATATAATAAGAAAATCAAATTACTTCAGGTGATCCCATAGAAATCATTTATTCTGATTACGACACAAATTTTGAGTATCCGAATGGCGAAGATGTAATGGGCGAACAAGATCCTATTATCCCACCTCCTTATACCAACACACCTTCTTTTGTCCCTCCTTATGAGTCTGATCCCATGGAAGGTGTCGATATGGGGCAGTTTGGCGTAAGACCGTGCGATCGAAAGGTTGATTTGTACGTTCTTCAACCAGATAAGTTGAATGTCAGCGGACAGAGTGACCCCTTGAAGGGTAAACTAACCAACTGTCACGTAACAGCTTGTGAAAGGTAGGTAACGAAAATGGGTGAAGACGCTCACAATTTGATTATCTTTTTTTAGACCATTTAGTGTTCAGAAAATTCCATATAGTAATTTGATTTTGTTGGTTGTGGACACTTTGTGTCCCTGTGGGAGTAAGCAGTTTAGTATTGCTCCACAAGAACTGATCTACGATACAGGGAATGGAGGCTGTTTGCATAAACCTAAGGATAGTTTGTATAGAAGACGTCCACCGAAGTGTATTAATTATCACCCAGAGGTGAGTTATAGATTTGCTATCACACAGTGTTATTACTGGTTATTTTCTCTTTTCCAGGAAAGTGAGATAAATATTTGTGGTAAGGCATCGACTACTGCTGTAAGCATCGCAAGTTTGATTATCATAAGCGTGATGCATTACATTTTGGCCCTTTTGTCGTGACTGTAAGTTACAATTTAAGATTATATACCTTTAAAACGTAAAGATGCAACTATTGTTGCGTTTGATAGACTACAATGAAATTTCTTATATATCAAGTTCATGATTATCATTTATTCATATCACAAATCGAAAAATGTATTATTTGAATAGCATAGAGCAGTTTTTTAAAATATATATATTGACAAAAGTCGTAAAACTAGTTGAATTTTTCATATAATTTATAAAATGTGGAAGTAATTTTGGGTGTATTTGTACATATCAAATGTTGTACTATTATAACCTGTGATTTTCAAAACATGAAAATTACAATTCCGTATAATTTAGTGTTTATTAACGTATTTGATTACGACAATAATTAAGTCTGTTTCGATTTCGGTTGGGTTTTTATTTTGGACTGTACTGGTCGCACGATCGCGGGGATGGTGGGCGGAAAGTTGGTATCTGCGCGCGCATCACGTAATCGCGCGACCTGTAACTATGACAATACTTATAGTAAAACTGTGAATATTGGCATACAGGTTACTTAGGGTAGTCAACATAATCTGCTGTTGTAAATAATAAAAAAACAAGATCTGTGTGTCGTATTTAGTTCGAGTCTAAATTTAAAATTACTATAGCAGTTATGTTCGAACGCATATTTTCTAATTATAATTACATATTGTAAGTGCCAGTTTTTCTACTGACTTGATTTTCGTTATTTAAGATGTAAGACAAATCTGACAATTGCAAACATTTTGCTTTGTTTTGGTATGATATGTGTCAAAGTATTTGTACATTATAAGATTAGAATTTGTACATTATTAGATACAATTAATGTATGAAATTTATTTCAGGTAATGTAACATATCTATTTTAAATAATTGACATTAATTAGTCTACTAATGTACATGTAGGTAGGGTAAATTTTGTAATTAAAAGTTAATTATTTTGTAATGTGGCGTGAATGAAAATGTCATTAGTATAGTGTGTTTGATACAGCCATTTTGGTTAGATCGAATTATGCTAACTTATTTCGTAACTTAACTACACTATACTAAAACTGAGTCTTCCAATTAAAACAAATAATTAATTGTAAGTTATTATGAAAATATAGAAAATGTAGTACTACTAATGTATTCAATTTTAAGCAACATGTGTAGAACAGTTATTGAGCATTGTTTATTTGTCAAACGTTGGTTGTCTGTTGTATGTACAATTCATACTAGACTTCACCATATCTTAAATGAATTGCATAGTTTTAATTAAAACTAATATATTTATCACTATTGTTATTATTTATACTCTCACCCAAAACCCACTCCCTTGCTTCACTTACTTAAGTCAGTGAAACACACTCAAAACATATGAAGTTTTTACTTAAGCCAGGAACTTATGAATATTTACAAGAAAAACACAAATAACGGAAAAGTATTTATTTATACAATGTGGAAGTGTTTTCAACTTTTGACAATATTTGTGATACAGTAATGACTAGACTGCACACATTTTTTGATACAATAGGGCTCCTAGATGTGACAGAAACAAAATGGTCTCACTATCAGCAAAACTTTTGTTCTAATCAGTAGTATCATATATATAATATTGAGTAAAAATGGAAAAGTTTCACCAATATAACAGATTAGATCAAAACATGAAGAGTAGGATTCTGAATAAACCTGTTGTTCTAAATGTGCATTTTGTTCTAGTTTTACAACTTTGGTTAATAATTGTATCTAGTTGTTTTTTCATTTTTTTATAAAAATATACAAAATATAGCAATTTTAGAATAATTTCTTACCATAGGAGTTTGTCTTCAGAAAAATTAATACCGATTGTCTTTAGAACTAAACCAATTTAGTCCTTATTTACAATTACTTCAGAGAAAATTCATACCTGAAGATTTTTCTCGAACTTGGATTTTATATCACTGAAATGCCTTTATAAAATCCACAAAAACAAATATTAGTGATGTTTTCACACTAGTGTGCTCGCTTAGCTCGCGTGAAGAGACGGCACGCTTACATTTATATTCCTGGTATGAATTTTCTTGATTGTACTGACTTCGGTAGAAACAAATCTGACACAAAAGGCGTGCAACGAATTTCGGATGCCTTCAAACGAACCGACTTTACAGCAAATTATGGCACAGTTCTATTATAAAAAGAAAGTGATGTTGAAACAAAGACAAACACTAATCATGGGAACTAGAGAGAAGGAAACGAAATTATGTAGCAAACACGGCTACAACAAACGAAACCATATACGACAAAAACCAAGTTTAATGACAAGTAGAATTACCTGTACTATTTTCTGATATCACAGATTTGCTACTGTACTATTTTTGGTATCACAGATTTGCTACACGAGCAGAGCATAATGGAAGTATACATTAAAATTTCACTCTAAGTTGAAATGTACTTTATCATGAATGAGCTTAAAGCAGAAACAAAATGTTTTAAAAATGACACATCGGTGTAAACTAGCACCGATAGACTCGTTTCAACTTGACATTTAACTTAGCTTTCATCGTATATGCGTATCCCAAGTATTAAAAGAGCGCGTACGGAATTCAGATCAGATATATACATAGTTTTTAAAAACTTGCTAAGAGATCAAAAAGAGTTAGTTTAAATTTTATAAAAACCATCCTCTATTGCTTTCTACTAATTTAATGTGTTTAACTAGCCAATTAGGAAACAGTATTTTCAAAATTTTGGCGCCAATACCGTTGAGCAAATTTTGACAGCGAAGTTGATCTTTTTTTAAGCAACTTCGTTCTCCCGTGTTTCCAAGCACCAAATTGGTGACAATAATGACCTAATTAACCATTGTGCACGTACATTGCACTAAGTCAGTTGTTTTTCACAACTTACACTAATCAACTTTTTTTATCATATTAAATTAGTGATGTAAATTTGACAAATCGTTGATAAAAAAATTGTTAGCTGCAAATTTTCAATACTTCACTAAACAAAAATTGTAACCAAAATTATTTTCATCACTAATCAAAATACGCGAGCTTTGTGCTAGAAGAAGTTGGCTACAAATGTATTTTTTGCGATATAAATAAAACGGGAGACTTTTTAGCTTTTTTTATTTAGTAAGTAACCAAAAAATTTTGAAGATTGCTACATATCTGCTTTTTGTTTGGTGAAATAAAAACCTGTTTGCAGAAAACTGCTTTTAGCACCTTCTTTAATTAATCGTTTTATTATTCCATTTGGATGGAATCTTAAAATTAAAATTATAATTAATCTATGAAAATGTAATTGTTTTTAACAAATTAATAACAACAAAGAGATACTTATATAAGTATCACAGTATAACCAAATCTATAAGAAATAAAAAGAAAGATTACTAACTAGAAAATAAATAAATTAATTAATCCAATTACAAAAAATCTCTGTTATTGCTATGGCTCTTATGTGCTACACCCAAAACTAAAAAAAAAATTCAAATCACCACGTGTTACAATAAGTAGGCATCTCAAACCTACTTAACTTTGAACAGCCAGGTGAAGCAGAGTTATATAAATCTGTCACTGTGGAAACTTGATATAAATCATTGTTGACTATTACTGCAATCTCTGCAAATTGTTCTATTTCTTTTGTTTCATCTTTACTAATGCGTGTGAATACTCGATTTTGTGACCTAAAAAAAGAACTATAGAATGATGCAATACCCAAACATGAATGACATACATCTGCTTTCTGTTGAATTTGTGTAAATTAAAAAGGTGATCATAAGATCGAATTCGCCAGCGCCTCAAATTGCCCGTAATGCAATTAAGATGCCTCCAGCGTCTTTTAAAATGTGGCTTAGGTTGAACACGTTCACGCAGTCGAAATTCTCTGTCAAGTTTTTTTAGTGGGAAAAAGTCATCATCAGAAAAGTTATAGTAATTTGCTTTTGATAAATGAAAATCTGGTGAAGAACTTCGGGACTCTGGTACCTCGTTGTCGTCGTCGTCATCGCTATACTCATAATTCAGTTCCTCTTCAGCGTTATCAACGCAAGCCCACTTATCACTCGAAGCCATGCTACATTAATCTGGAAAAAAACAAAACTTAAGACTTTATATTATAGACACGAAATTGCACCTACCAGCGTATTAAACTCCACATTCCAACTATTTCTATCCACTGAACTAATAAACGCGCATTTAAAGCACGATGTTTCATTTTTTTGAGTGAAAAAGCAAAAAGTTATAGGTTAGGTTGCTTTATTGCTTGCTAGGAAGATTAAGAACTACTTCGACAACTTTCCTCGGCTTCAGTACACTTACTAATAACATTATCAACATCAACTTGGTCATTTGATTAGGTTCTAAACACAAAAAATTAACTGGATTGAAAAACCCGAACACAACACATATAACGACATATTCGTTGACGTTTGATTTAAAAGGATGGATAACACGGACGTCAGTGGCGCGTGGGTCAGTTGCTCCCTCTCGTGGTGAAACTAAAAGTATCAATTTGGTTCCAAACGACGAAAAATGTACAAGTGGATCAAAAAGAAAATATGTTGCGGACACATCCACTACAAATTTATTAAATGACACCTTAAAAAAAGTATGTGTATTTTATTAGTGCATTATTGTGTCTATTTCAAATAACTGCGGTTATTTTGAGCGCTTGCGCAGTGAGAATCGACAACGTGACTGAATGAAAATCCCCAACTTAACATCGCAAAAATCCAAAACCGAAGTACTTTCTTCAAAAAAAATAAAATTTAACAATTAAATAGTGTACTTAAAAAAAGCGGAACCGAAGCTAAAAAACCTGCTAAAGATTTTAAGAGTGACAACTACAAATTGCAGCTCTGGTTATAATGTTACATTTGCTTTGAATGTGTCTCCAACTTCACGGGTTCGTACACTTTCATCAGTGATGACTGCAAGAAATGTGAGAAAAGGGAATGGGCATAATTTTATTTGGCGCTATTTTAAATATTATATTTTTGTAATGAAGCGTATGTAATGTATTTTGATAATAGATAAAGATGTGAGACAAGCGTGTGTGATTTATTTTTTCCATTTTAAACTTCAAATTGACAAGCAAAGTCCCTACATTTTCCCCGAATATAGGGACTTTGAAGACAAGCAAAGCAACCTTACCTTTTATAATAGCTGAAGCGCGACTTATGAATTCTGTGACCGCAACCTGAACTTTATCTTTGTTTATTATTTTTGAAAATTTCACTGCAATGAAAGTATTAAAAGACAAATTAAGTATGCAATTGGCGTAAAAAGATGTTAAAGTTTTTTTGGGAATATTCATCTTAATAACTAGTTTTACAAATAAAAGAATTTTGGTGAAAGTCAATTAATTGCGATTTTAACATTTATACCAGCCCTTCAACCCGGAATATTTTCGTGCTCATTATGCAGTTTTAATTGAAAATGGTGATCGACTATCTGCATGTACGGATCTACGACACCAAAATGTAGGTGCGTTCGAGTGTACAATACATATATACCCGCAACTACCGGTTACAAAACCAGGAAATGACATCATCATGTATGATATAATTCATACCGGTTTTTTTTTTTCAAGAAATTAGATCATATAGATAAAGATTCCAATATTAACGGCTATATTAGGAGTTACTTTTGTTTACAAGGAAAATGTGTAAAAAAATAAAGCGTTTTCGGATAAGTACAATAAAAAGCAAAAGTGTCTGAAAAGCGAGACCGAGAGGAGCGCTGTTTTAAATAATTTTTACATGCGTCATCCGGAACCTTGACGCGCCATTATTTGTTTGGGAATTTTCCAGAAGAATGCTGAGCGAGAGATGTTGGTTTCAGTTGACGCCGCACGTAAAAAAAAAGGTGACGAAGAACATTGTTTATTGATTTGGCGTGACGTTTATTATTTTTGTGGTGGTTTTTACAAATCGATTGAAATAAATAATATCGCTGTATTTTACGGATTTACCCGCAAGTTGTGTTGATCTACCGGAGGAAAGATGGCGCCAGTCGCTAAAGTAGTCCCGAATTTTGAGAATAGTTGAAACGTGTATATAAATTTGTTTGTAGAGGTCGGACGCGTACCGTTCGAGGGGGCCGAAGCGGCGGAAGTAGCACCTTGTTGTCCCGAAATGGTAAGTGGGCGCATTTTGGCGAAATTTTTGCAAATTTTCAATGTTAAAATTCCCACAATTGTTAATGCGCAGACTCGTGCGAAGTGTTTGTGAGTGAAAACAATGTCGGGCATTACCAACACTGCCTGCTTCGATCGATATCAGAGAATGTGACGTAAATTTATCTGTCATTGTGCAAGGCGAATATTTACCCATGTAAAAATGTTGTACTGAGTGTTGTGGACGTGGCAAGTGCGAGAAGAAATAAATAATTGTGAAAAATGCGGTAACAGACATGTTTTTCTGTTAAATGTGTAACATACACGCAGGTGCGTACGCAGCCGTACTAATAATTTTAACTGGGCCTGCTCCATTGCTGGAGGACGCGCGATTCACTCAAACAAAATTCCTGCAATTATATTCGAAAAAACAATCGCAGTCGATTGGGGCCCTAGAAACGAACGCGTGGCCGCCGCCGCCTTCTTGCTTTAACAAACTCAGGAAGCCATTTTAGTTAAATGTCTTTCTTCGCGACACGTCTGGCGCCAAACCTCTGCCCTTTTGCGCAAATACTGTTTATGTTCATGTGCATGTGTTAAAAATACGATGCACAAATGCAATGCATCAACACAACGCACGATTTTTCACAAATTCCCAACTCAAAGCCCTCAATCGAAATATTTTATCTATAGGGAATGTTGGGGGCAAGGGGGAACATCAATTATTGATTTTGTACTGTAGCATTTATACATATATCCTATATTCCGATAATATATTCAACGTTATTAACTATTTTCAACATTATACATTCCATGTTGCTACTAACAACTTCGTTTGCATTCCGAAATGGTTAGAAATCAAAAAATCAACGATGAGGTAGGTTAATCTAGACATAACCTCAATTGCATTAAACTCACTCAACTGTTTACATCCTCTGTACGCCTCCCTGCATCACTGCCTTTCGGCATCGTACTCGCTTGATTCTTCTACTTAAAGAAACGACAAATTAACCACGTGTCCACTATTATATAATATCGCAGTGCCTGTTATGTGAATGTGTAAGATGCCCCTGTCTTATTATCATATCTAGATCGTTCCAAACCCGACCACAAACACACCGTTCTACCTAAATTCGTAAAAACCCAACAGTTTTTAAACTAAAGTGATGACAAAATCATGTTCGAAAGAGTAGGATTAAGGTAACTACAGTCTTCAGTATACAACTGCCCAAACCCCAAAATTCTCACATACATCGGTCTTTTTAGTCAAATCCACAAGAAAAACACACGCTTCAGGGCAACGCGTTTCGCCAACCATCCTAATACCCGATTTCAAAAAATACCCAACTTGTTAACATTCAAGAAAACGAAAATCAAGGGGCGTACTCATTCCCTCATACTGAATTGGCGAAACACGCGAACTTGAAGACCCCACTTTTGTCTTATTTCCATAAAATAAGCATAACTAATCAAAATATACAATTTTCATTTTGAACACAAAAAATCAGAGGGCTTTATATTTGTTGCTTCTATTACATATACAGAACATATCAAAACAGGGATTTTTTGTTTGAAAGTTGTAATAGACTTTTGTATAGTTACTATAATGAATAGCTCAGGTTTCTCCAATTTTTGTTAAATTGACGCCAATGTTTGAAACAGCTGTAAAACATAGTGAGATTTTTTTGTTTACTAATGTTAATGTAATTTATTCGACCAGAACAAGTCGCTTCACGAATGCATAGTTTCAGAGATAATGACGTTAAATATTGATGATTTAAGTTTTGTACTTGGTTAGGTTTTTTTTTGATATTTTCTGTATATTTTTTTGTGTTAGTTGGGAAAATGTAAATTACGTGATGAGTGGAATATGCACTGCCAATGTAATGCAGAAGGGTAGTTGTTGGCGTTTAAAATACATTATTACAAAAACGGTATGTAACTTGTTGATTTTAAACTTTGTACTGAGCTGTAGGTCATATTTTTACTTAAAACTAAAAAAAAACACGAATTTTTTATTACAAGTTTAGTGGCTAGGATGCATTGTGTGAGTGTTAAAAAGAAAGCTATTAACAATTTTAATTGGCTTGTAAAACTTAACACTATTCCGCAGTTAGTTTAAAGCAGATGAAGTATTGGCGTTCATTAAGGCACAGAACAAAAATTGCCACCGTCACAGAAGACTTGCACAAAAGAAAGAAATGAATGGAGTTGACGCCTTTTCGGCTTAACAAAGATGTTAAAAATAGGTGCTACGATGTTAGAATTTTTGCAAATCTGATTAATCGCACGAGTCATGGGTAGTCGGCTGGGACATCGCACACATTTTTATATGATAAAATACGTAATCACCGGTTTTGAACCATTGTAATCCACACATGAAACAGTATTGTGGTATTTGATAATATTGTTATGAATAAATGAATCAATCATTCAAAAATCCAAATTGTAATCATTAATGTTCAAAGAAAGGGGATAAGGACAAGCTTAACATTGCGATGAATATCTTCATTCATTGGAACGATTCGGCTCTTGAAGTAATAGTTTGACAAATTACGCGCGTTATTTTGGACAACTCCTTATCACTTAGCAAATTGTAATTTTATAGTTTAGTAAGTTGAGATCACACGACCTTTGTTCTCCGACGTTGCTACTTTAACATTGACTCATTTGTTATTATAAGACGAAAAAGGGGTACTGCAGGGAACACGAAAGAGGTTCGGGACCATGGTGAATAATAAACCTGGGGAAGAATGGTGAGGACTTGCATATCATACAAAATGCAACACAAATTGCTGTCGGTCTTTATGAAGGAGCCCAATTTTAATTGGAATCACAATAGCAGACAACAAGTTAGACACACATGAAGGCGACGCTATTGAAAAGAATGCGGACGCATCTAAAAACGTTACTAGATTCACTTTTGGCTCTGGGATATCTTCCTTGTTCCCCGCGGTCGTTTGATCAAAAGTTCGAGTGATTTCAACTTGATTTGTCGTAAATTTTTGACTAGTTTCGAAGCCGAGCCGCTCCGTGCCACTTTTTGGTTCCATAATTTTAGTATCTGAATGTGTGCTTTACGGATTAGTTAATTTTAGGAGGCCCGTCTTCCACATTGCGGGTAAATGGTTTTGATAATGAATACGTCAAATGGCAATCAAGCCAATAGTGAAGAAATCGCAATGGTTGTTGGCTCACCAATGTCAATCCAGTCTGACGATGACGATGACAATTGTCAGTCGTCGGCGGGGTCGGCCTGCGAAGAAGGTTCCGACTTCATGACGGCGGCAATGGACGATGAAGTCACTGCTCAGCTGGCTGCTGCAGGTCCTGTAGGTGTTGCCGCCGCCGCAGCGATCGTTTCAGCGAAAAAACGCAAAAGACCGCACTCGTTCGAAACCAACCCTTCTATCAGGAAAAGGCAACAAAATCGTCTACTCAGGAAATTGAGGGTATGTGAAAGCATCGAAGCGGTGTCCGGAATAATGGCGTATTTGCAGCAAACGATAGATGAATTTGCGACGCGCGTGGGACAACAAGCTATAGTATTAGTAGCCACACCTGGCAAACCAAATATTAGTTACAAAGTATTTGGCGCAAAACCGTTGGAAGATGTTATTAAAAATCTCCGCGGGATGATCATGGAGGAACTGGAGAATGCTCTCGCCCACCAAGCGCCGCCGCCCGTTCAGGACGACCCCTCGCTCTTCGAACTACCTCCGTTAATCATCGACGGAATTCCTACACCAGTGGAGAAAATGACCCAAGCACAACTACGTGCTTTTATACCCTTGATGTTGAAGTACTCCACTGGGAGGGGTAAACCTGGATGGGGGCGCGAATCTACGAGACCACCATGGTGGCCGAAGGAGTTACCCTGGGCGAACGTTCGAATGGACGCCAGAAGCGAAGACGAAAAACAAAAAGTTAGTACGGCGAGTACCGGCTGGGGTTATGGTGTGATTTTCTCTGGTTGTAGATATCTTGGACGCACGCTCTGCGACAAATTGTTATAAACTGTTACAAGTTTCACGGCAGGGAGGACTTGCTACCTGCGTTTACGGAAGAAGACGAAAAGGCCAACGCCACAGCTACTGCCAACGCCAATGTCAGTACATCGGTTGGTGTTCTAAAAATGCATTCCTCAGGAATAGTACCTACTCATAAGATACAGATCCAAGCTAACGGGTCGCCTCAAATTATAGCCGCCTCGCCTGATGGCTTGTCAGGGTCCTCTGCGCAGGTTTGCCTCGATCCTGCGGGCTATAGTTCAGACGTCGATGTGTGTAGTACTTTCTACTATAGGTGTTGTCCAGTTCGATTTTATTTTCGTTTCCTTTTTTTCTTTTACTTTCCGATTTTTACCAATTTATCTTCGTTATTATTATCATTTGATGCCTGTTTAGCTTGGTTTTGTTACACATTATTCTTTTTTTTAAAGACACATTTTATATTAGTGGTGGGAAATTTTGTACTTTCGACTATTTGTAAACGAGCTACAAAATTTCCAACATTTAGAACCCAATTATTAAAGCAATTTTACAATTATAACGAATTTTGCAAGGAAATTTCGATTAAGTAGGAGAGTTGTTTTAGATTACAACTCAATATACGCCCACGGTACTACATACAATTACAAACCCAGATGGTACTGTCAGTATTGTTCAAGTGGATCCCAACAATCCAATCATTACATTGCCAGATGGCACAACAGCTCACGTTCAGGGAATGGCCACTGTAATTATACTTTTTTTTTTTTAATATATATACATATATATATAGTCACCGCTGGAATTCGTCAACTCGATATGCCGTGGTAACGAAAATAAATTCAAGAGTTAGTTATAGGGTCGACATAACCTTAACTAAGCATGTGTGTGAATGTCGCACACGTGTTAGAATGTGCGGTAGTGCCATCTACAATATGTCTACGCAGCCAACTCTGATTCGTTTTATTTTCGATCTCGGACGAATTTTGTCAAAAATATTGCAGCGGCGATTATCCGTTTAACGTTACTTGAGCGATTTAAGTCGCTATTTTTGTATCTGTGATGCAGATTCAGACCGGTCAGGGTGACGGAACCCCTGTTCACACTATCCAAGCAATATCAGAGAGTGGTTCTCAAGGTGAAGTTGTCGATTTGAATTCGGTGACGGAAGCGACCCTCAATTCCGAAGGCCAAATTATATTGACTGGAGAAGACGGTCATGGTGAGTGAACTTTGTTTATGTTCGTCTCGTTTTCGTTTTGTTTTGTTTGTTTTGTAGTTATTTTTATTTTGCATATGGCATAATGTGTTCAGGTTACCCAATTTCAGTAAGTGGCGTTATTACCGTACCTGTAACTGCATCGATGTACCATACCATGGTAGCAAATATCCAGCATCTTCACACAAACAGCGATGGTACAGTGTGTGTGACACCGGTGGTACCGGTCCCTAAGGTGAGTGTTAATGTGAACCGCCGTCTTTCGGGTTTTCTGTGTTCGACGTGTCTTTTTTGAGTGGGGTTAATACTTTTAGTCTGTTGATAAGGTGGAGCCGAATAATGGCGACAACATGGAAACGTTGGCGGTAACACCAAGCGGCTTGACCACACATTCAATGATGATACAAAGTTCTGGTAATGAGGGTCCACAAGTCTTACAAGTTCTGTCATTAAAGGATGCGACTGTTTTGACAAAAGCAATGCAAGGAATTGCTGATGTTAAAACAGAAGAAACTATATTAAGTGACCAATAGACGGTACTGTTGATACAGATTATGGGGAGAAAGAGTTAAACAGAGTATTTACTTTTAAATTTTGTATAAATGTTTTATTTTTTATTTTTAGCGACAATTTAAAAGATCCGTTCGAAAGATTTATATATTAATTTGACTGTTAGCAAAAGTGGTGGTAAATATTTTATTGAAACCTATCAAATATCTGTTTCTGGATAAGTGTGGTAAATTTCGAAAGAATGAATTAATTATACTCTTGCTGTATATATTTATAAATATAATACCTAAGATTTTGTGCTAAACAGTTATAGTGTGTATACAATTTTACATAACTTGCATCATGTAAGTGGTACAGCAGCTTGATATTTTGTTTTCTGCGAGTACTTAGAGATCTTCATGTACAGACGGACAGGCCTAAGAAGAGGCGGAAGATAGATTATGCTTACAGTTTCCACTTTGGTATGTATTATAAAAGAAAAAGAGCAACGACGTTGTACAATGGCGTACTTATTTGTGATCATATTGTCGAAAATGGAAATTGTTCATTATTACAATCAAGTTTATATTTTATTTACTTTTTACTTTTATTTATACACTAGAAAAGATGTATTTTATAGTTTTTATTTTTTATAGTTTCGGTTGTACATATATTAAGTGTTGAGACTTTAAAACAGTATATTACAGTGATATAAGCTGTATGGTTGCGACGAAAATATTTATTTCTGAAGTAGCGTTAACCCACTTATCTAAAACATGAAGCACTAATATTACGTATTTTACTAGTCACTTTTGGCATAATAATGATGTTAGTTTTATAATGAAAGATTAAGTGTTCAAGAAGAGGGTATTCACCGTGTATCAGCATATTAAGTAATCGTCTTATTTCACACTTTGGTCAAGCTGTGTTAAGTTGAAACTTTTTATACATGTGCATATTAAGTGTAAGTTTATCTTGTATATTATCTAATTAGTTCACATTAATTTAATCTTGTTAATTATTTTTAGTTATTATTGGGTATTTTAATTGTTAGTTCACTGTGCACTAGAAAGGTTTTATGTGTGTTTACAAACAATGGTGGTTATTTCTGGTGTGTATTGTATGGTTCCTTTGTTATTTGTGCCATACATTTGCATTGCTTGCTTCACTAGTTTTTTTTTTTTTTTAAATACATATTTTTGGTGAATTTCCATTCATTGTTAATTTTATATTATGTAAAGAACCAAATATTAATTAGGCTTGGTTTAGAATTTCGTGCCAAAGGCATATTAAAGTACCTTCATTAAATAATTATTAAGATTAGGTTTTTATGCATATTTGTTACTGGAATTCTGTTATATGAATTTAAGCAAGGTGTCCATTTCGTTTTTCATTGTGTAAAATTAAAACACTGTACATTGTATATTTTACAAATCTCGCTGTAACTAACTTTTTGACAAAATAAATGTAATAGTTTGTTTCAATGTGGTGTGACATGTTAACTTTTAAATGTTATTTTTATGGTATGCATGTATATTTAGATTTTAGAACTATATGGCCAATTACCTGTAGTGGTAACGAATTGTAGCACCATATAAACATCACATAACACTAAAGATATCTTCCCTTTATCACTTCTCATTAACACAAATTTGAAGATATCTTTGTTTGTTTTTGTTTATATTCAATGTGCTGGCACAAGAGGCAGTTGTTTGTCCATAAAATTAAGAAGATGTACATTTACACTTACCAACTGGCCTTAAGTTACTTTGGAAAAAAAGATGCCTTTGGTTCTGCGCACTGTAACGAAATTTTAATGATCTTGGCCTGATCATTAATTCAAAACTTGTAAATTTTAATAGAATTCTGTAACTACCAAATAAAGCTATCAATTATGTATTTATATCTTGTGATTGACCATTCCGCACCACCTTAACCCAAACCGTGCACTTCATACGACACCAATTTTTGTTACAGAACAAAGCATCAAACGCGCAAAATGTAACACCACATGCGTTGCAACGTATTTGACTACAGTCATTTTGAACGTAACAATTACTTAAGTTGCGCCACCTATGCACAAATTTCCGGTGTAGTTGGCCGTAAATTTCCTTAAGTGCAGTTTACACGGCGCTAGGTTTGCCAAGCAACGTTTACGTTTGACAATTTTCTTGCCAAACTCAACTTGGCACACCGGCAGCTGCGTCATTATTACGTTTTTGTATTTCAAAAAACAACAAAAACTTATTATTATACTGATTTTATTATTAATAATAACACATTACATTGACTAACTAAATTAGGTTTTAATGAATGTCATAGACTGACTGCAACGCGAGCTCTGGCTTATCGTATCCCAGTTCCTCAGGTGTATCAATTCCAAGCTCTGTCAAAGTGGGTCTCACCTCCTGGATGATGTACGGGTAGATTTCGTTAACTTTACCGCCACACTTGTCCTTCACGGCTTCCAAAATCCTGATAGCCAAAGCGTAATCATTAACCCGGCGGCACGCCTTCAAAGCCGCAACGACAATCTTAGGTTCTGGGACCAAATCATGACCACAAAGATCATTGATACCTTGTCGGATTTCCCAGCCGTCGATATCCTTCCTGTTGAAGAAATTTTCGTACCTGAAACGTGGTCACGATTTAAATTTGCCGCCACGCGACGTAACCTTAGTTGGTTAAGAAAACCATACCCAGCCTACTTTTCGCAATTTTTTATAAATGAACCCGACCGGGACACATCGCGAAAAATCTTCTTTCGTAGTTTAGGGTGCTTTTACTATTATTATAAACAAATGTATAGTGAATTACGTAATTTACCTGGCATCAAACTGTTCATCTGTTTCGGTACTATGAGAAGACATAAACCTGGTTGTTGTTACTGATGGTTTTGAAATGTTCAGTGCCCCTTTTACAAGGGAATGCACGCGGACAGCCGTTGTGCGGAACATTTTTAAACAAATTTACAATAAAATGGTACAAATGGCGAGGGCGATCAATGCGACAGATGATAGAGACAGAGTGAACTACGCGAGGTCATGCGCAGGCGCCAGATAAAAGTAGTTCTGGGAGATTTGAATTAGGGTCATCGGAACTATTGTTGTCGTAGCGCGTTTGAATTTAAATTTTAAAAATTTGGTAATTCAATGTTGCTCCATTTATAAGATGTGTGGAAGATAATTGCTACCGAATTACTAAATAATCTAATATAATATGGATTTGGTTTGTTATTTTCCATATAACATACTATACCAGGATACGAATAGGCAAAGAATAAATTAGTATTGTAGCAATAACTTTATAAAGGATTATCTTCATGAGTATAAGCCAAGTATTGTTGTTTGTCAAGTGCGAAATTGTGGTCTCCTATTTCCGTCTAGTATGTCTGTTGGGAATTCTGTAGACCGGAACCATGAACTGATTATTACGACTGTCGTGTAGATTACCCAAAATGTGCCATCCCCTCCAAACTTTTATAAAGTAAACCCATCTAAAATTTTACGGTTTGCTTGAAAGAGTACAAAACGAGTTTCTTTGAAATTTTGATGACACACTAACAAAGTTTTATGATTACAGTACAGAGTATTCATTAAAATTTAAAATGTAAAATAAATGTTTATTAAAATTAAGTATGGGTTGAAATGCAAAGTGCTTTGAGATTTAAAAATTAAATTTTATTTTTTTATTGTTTAGATAACGAATGCAGAGATTTATTTTATGGTGATTAAATGTCATGTAGAAACTGTGTTAAACAAGACTTAATTGAAATTTTTAATACAGTTTTTAATTTTTAGAATCGCTTGAGAAACTATAAGAAGAAACAAACCGGTTAACTTTATTTTCTCAAAAAGTGTTCAAGATATTTGTCTAAAACTCATAGTGATAGTAAGGTTTGCCACTAGCTTAGATTGTACATTTATAAATTAATATGTTCATATTCATTAAAAGGTTGATGACGTCATGTCGTCATAGCTAAATTAGTAAATTTAGCTATGAGTTGATTACCATTTCTACCGTTACTTTGATGTTTCCAACTATGTCTCAGCGGAAATAAATAAAGATTGAGTATCACAAAAGCTGTTTATGCTGTTTTAGTACGATTTTAGACTGAATGAAATTATTTATAAGAAAAAACTTTTTTCTTCTGTGAAGCACAGAGTTTATTGTTGCGCTTCTGAGGAAATGTGTATATTTTTATGGTAATGATGAGTGATAAATTAGTTTCTAGAAAATGTTTTATAGAAATAAAATTGTGGTCCAATGACATTTCGTTGCAGATGAAGTCATGGGTACCTGAAATACTATTTTGTAATAAATGCATCACTCTCATTTGCATGAATTCAAAATAATCAATATTAATAAATAATGACGTAATGGGGAAGGAATTTTCTTTGAATTTGTGCTACTTTTAAAATTGACGTGAGTGTTTGGCGTTACTTGCGCGAGATGGCGCCTGAAAAACAACTAGATTCACCACGCCTACCAACACCAAGTGGTTTTAGTCTAAAATAAAATAAAATGAATCATTTTCGTTGATGTATAATGGACAGTCAAATCCTCCTCTTAGATATTTTTACTAAAACGTTAGTTGAGTTAAATCCTCGAATAAGTAGGCATCTTTGAACCAGTGATAGTTCGTGATAATAGTAATTTGATTAGTGAGTGTGACGACCGCCTAGACCGCACCTATCTCTGTTGTGTGTTTGTAGTGTAGTGATAAATCGTTATCATGGACAAATAACATAGATTTTGAAATAATCTGGTGAGTGTTGTATGTTTGCAACAAACGTAGATAAGGGTTCAGTATCTAGATAAGGTAGATAACGGGAAGTTGCAGAAAAACAACATAAAACAACATTCGAGACAAGTGGCACCTCGGTTGTAGTCGAAGTATTTAATTTATGTCAGGAAAACATTTAACGATTTTACTGCTTTGTTTTTATCGTAGCATGGGCATAGTTGTCAAAATTTCAATGCGTCATGCGACACAGGCACGAACTTCGATTGATTTAAGCCCTAAATTCAATATTCCCATTGTGCAACACGGCTAAATTTAGTTAACCTAATCTTAAAATATTTTTGTTTCGCAAGAATCAAGTTGCCGGCGGTTGACTTTCTTCGATGCGTTTTTGTCATTTCGGAAATGATGTCACTTGACGGGTTTAGGAAATAAGTCACTTTCTGATTTGAAGTCATCTTTATTTTAGTGTTAAGTTATTTAATACATGGAACCTGTCATTGAAGTATGTTTATCATATGTCCAATTTATTCGGATAACCTATTCTTAAATTTAATCAATGGATATAAATAGCTCAAATGCTCAAGTAATTGCATTCGTAATTTACATTCATGTCGTAGACTTGATTCGAAGGAACAGTCAACAACGTTAAATTCCACCCACACGTAATTATTGTCAAATTTTTGTCATTTGACATAAGACCCCTGTGTTTGCTCCGGTTGTTTGCACCCTTAATTCTCAAGGGGTTTCAGAAACCTTATATTTAGAAGAATTGTTTGCTTTCCTCTCGAAGTGACTCATTCAACTTTGATGAGTCGTCTCGGGTATCAACTAGATGAAATACAACCGAATAAAATAAAACTTCAAATTTCCGCAACAATTTACCGAGGAAAGCGAACACAATTTGCATTAAATTAGACCACGCTAATATGACGTAATTAAATTTCAACTTGTTGAAGATCTAATTAAAATAAGTTGGCCAAAGATGGCGCCAGATGACGGCAGTAATGACGTCATTGTGACAAGTATGTGCACTTTATGTGCCGTTTTATTATAATTTTTACTTTAGTGGATATTAAACAAGAAAAATTTAGGCCGCATTTTGCGCATCTGGAATAAAGCACATTTTTATGGTCTTGTTGACAAGATTTATTTGTGTTAAGTGTCAACACATCTCGTTACTTTTTTCAAGCTAAAACTAACATAAACTATTATCGTGTTTGTTATTAAATTTAGTTTTCAAAAAAATGAAACACTGTTGCGACGACTGAAAAAATACAATTATGACATGTAGTTGACAACACTAATTTTCATTGCCATAAAAACACCATTTTTCTTTGTTTTGATTTTCTTACACACTAACAACAACAAAGATAACTCTTGCATCATTATCAACACTTTTGTTATCGAGCTTTATAGGACAATGCAATTATAACCGCAATAAAGCGTATGAAAATAACACTCCGATACAAGTATTTATTTAATTTAAACGCACACACAATTATTGCATTGAGTACATAGCCGACACAAGAATGCAATAATGATGAAATCATTCCTGGAAGTTTTAAGACCATAAACGAGTAGAATTCGCTTCAAGATGTATGGCGAAGTTTTGATCTTCAGAAATTCAATAAAGCCGACTTCCACGGGGGAATTCGTCGGGAGTTGTAAATTTGTTCGCGCACCGCAGATTGTGGAAACTTCGGTAATTCCCACGTGAAAAAAGGATTGCGACATTTTAGATTTTGTACGTTTGGCAGAGAATGCGTACACAAATAAAAAGCTGCGGATATTGACCTCAAACTACCGCCACAATAAGTGGTAATAGACACATGTAATCGATAAAATTTGACCGTTCGTTGTCTACCACGTAATGAAGAGGGTACGCCGCTATTTGCTAAAATTAAATTCGAGTTTAAACTGACCGAGAAATTAAACAGAAGTTGGATTGCGTGACCGTGGACTGCAAAGTTTTGAATAGTATGTGAGGCAAGGATGCGTACGGCGGCCGTGTTTATTCACGAATGAAAAAATGATTTTTTTGAAAGAAAATTATTTTTCATCCTATGTGAATTCGTATTTAATTTACATTTTCAAAAAATGATGCACGAGGTACAATTTATTGACAGTTTTTTTTAAGGTGACGTCATCAATTTTTTGGTCGGTGTACTCATTTTAATATGCATAATGGTTTCTGAGAAAATTGAAAACTAATCGATTCATACAACCCAGGTACATTTTTAAACATGAAATTTTTCACGATCAAAAAAATCTGCAGGTGGTCTTAATCCCACAGGACAGTTGTGCGCAAACTACCTGGAAAGCAAGGGTCAGTTGCGCGCTGCGGTCAAAGATCTGCATCTGTGTTAGTCATTTAAAAATGAGTAAGTACTTTCAGAGTCACAATTGCACACGTATTTATCAGTCATTGGATATGTATATAGAGCTGAAATTACATGTTGCCTTTTTTTCTTAATATACGTAGTCATCTTGTCACAACAAAAACTTAAAACGGATGACTACATATATTAAGAAAAAAAAGGCAAAATATAAGCCCCACCCACCCACCCTGTCTCAATCGTGATGACACTTTTTTACCGGTCGTAAGTCGTGGGGCGTAGCTGAATTTCAAAATCCTTGTTTTTCTACGAGAAATTGCTATGTGAAACATATTCTTGAATAAGCGTGTTGTTTAAAGCAAACCATATGTACTTATTAGGTAAGTAAAAAAGAAAACCAAAAGATAAGCCCCACCCATCCGTCTCGATCTCAATCTGGCTTTAATTTTTACTTAATATACCTCGTATTTTTTGAACAACACGATTCTCAAAAACATGTCTTTCATGGTAATTTCTTAAAGAGAAATAAGGATTTTGCAATTAATCTCCGCCCTCTTGACTCACGACGAATAAAAATAAATCATCAGAATTGAGGTAGGGTGGGTGGGCGGGGCTTATATTTTGCCTTTTTTTTCTTAATACATATATGCAGTCATCTGTTTTAAGTTTTTGTTGTGAAAAGATGACTACGTATACTAAGAAAAAAAAGGCAAAGTATAAGCCCCGCCCACCCACCCTCTCTCAATCGTGATGATTTCTTTTTTACCCGTCATAAGTTGTGGGGCGGAACTCAATTGCAAAATCCTTGTTTTCCTACTAGAAATTGCTATGTGAAACATTCTTGAATAATCGTGTTGTTTAAAGTAAACTATATTACTTATTAAGTAAAAAAGAAAACAAACCAAAAGATAAGCCCCACCCATCTGTCTCGATCTCAATCTGGCTTTAATTTTTAATATACCTAGTATTTTTGGAACAACACGATGCTCAAAACATGTCTTACATGGTCATTTTTGTAGAGAAATAAGGATTTTGCAATTAAGCTCCGCCCTCTTGACTCACGACGAATAAAAATAAATCATCACAATTGAGGTAGGGTGGGTGGGCGGGGCTTATATTTTGCCGTTTTTTTCTTAATATATGCAGTCATCTGTGTTAAGTTTTTGTTGTGAAAAATTACTACATATACTAAGAAAAAAAGGGCAAAGTATAAGCCCCGCCCACCCACCCTTTCTCAATCGTGATGATTTCTTTTTTACCCCTCATAAGTTGTGGGGCGGAACTCAATTGCAAAACCTTTGTTTTCCTACGAGAAATTGCTATGTGAAACATATTCTTGAGTAATCGTGTTGTTTAAAGTAAACTATATTACTTATTAAATAAAAAAGAAAACAAACCAAAAGATAAGCCCCACCCATCTGTCTCGATCTCAATCTGGCTTTAATTTTTGCTTAATATACCTAGCATTTTTGGAACAACACGATGCTCAAAACATGTCTTAGATGGTCATTTCTTGTAGAGAAATAAGGATTTTGCAGTTAAGCTCCGCCTTCTTGACTCACGACGAATAAAAATGAATCATCCCAATTGAGGTAGGGTGGGTGGGCGGGGCTTATATTTTGCCGTTTTTTTCTTAATATATGCAGTTATTTGTTTTAAGTTTTTGTTGTGAAAAGATGACTACGTATAGTAAGAAAAAAAAAGGAACATGTAAACCCCACCCACCCACCCTATCTCGATTGTGATGATTTTTTTTACCCGTCGTAAGTCGTGGGGCGGAACTTAATTGCAAAATTCGTGTTTTTCCACGAGAAATTGCTAGGTGAAACATTCTTGAGTAACCGTGTTGTTTAAAGCAAACCATATGTACTTATTAGGTAAGTAAAAAAGAAAACCAAAAGATAAGCCCCACCCATCCGTCTCTATCTCAATCTGGCTTTAATTTTTACTTAATATACTGATAGTATTTTTTTAACAACACGATGCTCAAAAACGTGTCTTACATGGTAATTTTTTGTGGAGAAATAAGGATTTTGCAATTAAGCTCCGCCCTCTTGACTCACCACGAATTAAAATAAATCATCACAATTGGGGCAGGGTGGGTGGGCGGGGCTTATATTTTACCTTTTGTTTCTTAATACACGTAGTCATTTGTTTTAAGTTTTTGTTGTGAAAAGATGACTACGTATACTAAGAAAAAAAGGCAGTACGTAAGCCCCGCCCACCCACCCTATCTCAATCGTGCTGATTTTTTTTTTACCCGTCGTAAGTCGTGGGGTGTAGCTTAATTGCAAAATTCTTGTTTTTGTACAAGAAATTGTCCTATTATACATGTTCATAAGTAATCGGATTGTTTAAAGCAATCTATATTTACTTACTAAGTAGAAAGAAAACCAAAGGATAAGCCCCACCCATCAGTCTCGATTTCAATCTGGCTTTAATTTTTACTTAATAACATGTCTTTCATTGTAATTTCTTGTAGAGAAATAAGGATTTTGCAATTAAGCTCCGCCCTCTTGACTCACGACGAATAAAAATAAATCATTACAATTGAGGTAGGGTGGGTGGGCGGGGCTTATATTTTGCCTTTTTTTTCTTAATATATGCAGTCATCTGTTTTAAGTTTTTGTTGTGAAAAGATGACTACGTTTACTAAGAAATAAAGACAACATGTAAGCCCCGCCCACCCACCCGATCTCGATCGTGATGATTTTTTTTTACCCCTCGTAAGTCGTGGGGCGGAATTTAATTGCAAAATTCTTGTTTTTCTACGAGAAATTGCTATGTGAAACATATTTTTGAGTAATCGTGTTGTTTAAAGCAAACTATATGGTACTTATTAAGTAAAAAAAAAAAGATAAGCCCCACCCATTCGTCTCGATCTTAATCTGGCTTTATTTTTACTTAATATAGCTAGTATTTTTGTAACAACACGATACTTAAAACATGTCTTACATGGTCATTTCTTGTAGAGAAATAAGGATTTTGCAATTAAGCTCCGCCCTCTTGACTCACGACGAATAAAAATAAATCATCACAATTGAAGTAGGGTGGGTGGGTGGGGCTTATATTTTGTCTTTTTTTTTTCTTAATATATGCAGTCATCTGTTTTAAGTTTTTGTTGTGAAAAGATGACTACGTATACTAAGAAAAAAAGGCAACATGTAAGCCCCGCCCACCCACCCCATCTCGATCGTGATGATTTTTTTACCCGTCGTAAGTCGTGGGGCGGAACTTAATTGCAAAATCCTTGTTTTTCTACGGGAAATTGCTATGTGAATCATGTTCTTAAGTAATCGTTTCTACCAATAGGTTCATTTTCTGGAAAAATAAAACAGTTTGTTTTTATTTTTACGTTTCAATTCGAAACATTAATATATATACAGCAAAACCTCCCTTAATAGCCACCTCTAATCAACGGACAATTTTTAAGAAACCGAAAGTGTGTTTAGCAAATGTAATACGTAAAACCTCCTAACAAAGGACCCTCTCAACAGCGGACTCGGACAGTAAAATTTGTACATTTTTAATAAATTTCATAGAAATTTACCTCTACACAACGGACAGATTTGTTTGTTTCCGTGATTTTACCTGGTGAACAGCTCAGGTATTGTTAACGGATTAACTAATTTTGAGTACCGCCCGCGGTACCTTATTTAATCCACTGTAGGGGTTACCGGTTTTCCTAAAAATAAATTTTAAAATGGTATGTTAAATCCTTTCAAATGATTACGGCAGCACTACACCAGTAATTTATTATTTGCTTAAATTCTTAAATCTGCTCAATTTTTGAAATTCGATAAGCTTCTTATTAATATACATATTAGGAATTTCTCAATGAAAAATATGGTGGCTATTCCACTTAAGTGCGAAAGTATAAATATCTACCTGTCTTGGATAATCTCACAGTATACATAATTGATGTATGTGCATACATCAAATATATTTATCTCCAGCGGACACCTCTCAATAACGGACACTTTCTGAGTCACCAGAGCTGTCCGTTGTAGAGAGGTTTTGCTGTAATAACCCATATAATATAATAATTCCATATTTGCGCGCAAATATCCCATGACTTTTTTGGGAATTAAACCAGCCACAGAGCGCAAACTGACCGCCGCGCGCAAGTGATCAACACCCAAATTATGTGAGATGTCATCAAATTTTTAGGCCATTTTTTGCTTCTAAGAAAGTATTGTATAAGAATCCCACAGGCGACTGGCTACTTTCATGTTAACCGATTGTTGTTAAACTTTACATATTGAGTTTTTGCCATAGATATCCAAATTTTTGGAAAAAAAGTCAACATTGTTTAAGAACAACTTTACTTTGAAATTGCAAAACCGAATGTTCTGAAATCATGTAAACGTTGTCAGGTTATCGGAAGCATGGTAAATCGTTAATCACAATTTATCCGTATATGGTCCCTTTTATAAAATAACATACTCCTGTACTTGTAGTTTATGAATCCGTGTTCAGTTTTTACGCGAGACGTTTATATTTTTGGAAAAAAAAATCAAAATTTTGTAACAGCAGGTTACAATTTCCAAAAAAATCAAATTTTATTATTTTAGGAGCGAAATTGTGTCGACCAATTTTTTATTCAGTCATTAAAATAAATGATTCATTAATTTTTATTTCTTAGTGGCTAATTTCCTGTTTTCTCTTCGTTTCATTGCTCTTAGAATCTGAAAAAGTAGGTCCCCGTTTCCGTCTTTTGAGGCAATGGACAAATTTTTGTGAACTTTTAGACTTGCATTAAGAATATCGTGTGTACACGTGTAGTTTATCAATCTACCCATATTTTTTAGATCTGCTTATACAGGATGTCTCAAAAAAAATGCATGAAGCAATCTCTGTTTATTTGTTTGATTTATACCGTTTTGAGAAGTTTAAAAATAAAAATATATTACCAAACATTTTAAATTATGTTAGTAAGATCATCTGCATTATTTTTGTTGTCACATGTTTGTCACATGCATGAAGCATATTTGAGTTCGTTTCAAAAAACGCTTTATTTTTGTATTCTAAATTTGCGTAAATTTAATTTCTAGCACAAATGCGGACGTAAACAAAAAACTGAGACATCCGATGCATGTATGTAAATTTCAGGAGCCGCCTCCAGGATCATCCCCCGATCATTCGCCTTTCAGCTTACTGTCCGTTTGAAATATTCATCCCGAAAAGGAAAACGTGCGTTCTGAAATGACCAACGCAGAATCGATCCCGGTTTAATTTTAAACGAAGGGTTTTTTGGTGAATACGCGAAAATGGAGGATGACTACATGTCGAAACACTCAACTTGGAAAATAAAATATTTACATAGCGGGCATTCTGCCAGAAAAAATAAACTTCTTTCTCGCATTATCCCAAAAAAAACCTTTTGATGTTGCGGACATCGCATGGCCTTATCGATCCACTGCAGTGAAAGTTTTTTCGCAAAATCTAAAACCGAAATTTCTTTTCAAATCGAAGAAAATCCAGCGAACGTGCGGTTTTCCGCTTCAGTCGAACGAAACTTTTTTCCACATGGCTCGTTTTGCGGATGCAGAATTGTATCGAGGGGTAGAGACGAACAAAGAGTTATATATTTTACCGGAAAAAGCGCTCTTATAGACAATTTTAAATAAACGCTATCAGCGTCATAAATATTTGCATAGTGAGTGCAACGTTGTGTCTTCCTCGTGTACATTTAAAGTCTAGACTTGCTTATGTGAAGAGTGAATTAACGTTTAGGTAACGTCACATTTACACTTCGGGTATTTAAAGTTCAATAACTTCGTCGCTCACATTTTGAATATTTAATGAAATCGACGTTCAAAGTGCCCGTGATTAAATTTAGCGTGTCACGTTCAACGAAATTATTCATATTTTAACGTTACGAGGGAATTTTAGCTAAAGGGAGTTTCGCGTGACGTCATTGATGCCAATATTGGGTTAGAATTTAATTATGTTATACTATTGACTCAAGCTTTTAAATTAAACGAGAAATTGTATTTTGTCCTCGTGGATTTTACTGCAAATAACTGCTCTTAATTGCGATATTTTGTAAATATTAATTTGTAATTAATTATTAATTGACATTTTCTTATTTATTCATGTCGGTTTAATCTGTTGCTAAATTTAGAAATGTTCTGATGTATTTACATTCATAATGGAACAGAATACTAACAATTTTTTTGTTTACAGGGTGTAACTCTCTACACGCTACAAAGATGGCAGATCGAATAATTTTTAGTTTGTTGTTAACGATATTTAGTTTATCATGCTCATTAGGACGAGAAGGTAAGACTTTTTTTATAAGCTTGTATTCAACTGTTACTCAGGATGCAATATCCTAGTTTTTTTCAACATATGCTGTAAAATGTTACCGTTAGGTGACCAAAACGCGGAAGTAGCGACTGCATTATCGGTCGAATTTATAATTGGAAATGGTATAGAGGTGAAAATTTGTTGGGGGCCAAACTCATTTGCATACGTTAGTGGGGTGTTGTTCTAACGAGGAAACATTGTTTCTGTCATTATTTTCGTACTGGGTAACGTAAAGAGTATTAAATGAAGTCTTTCGTTAACCACGCTCGCTTTTGAAATTTTCTCCACCATCGTTTTTGTATTTTTAAGACTTGAAAAATTAATCCTTATAACAATTTATTGTCATCTGCAAAAAATGTGTTGTTACTGTTGATAAAGAAAAAATCTGATGTAATTTTGTTTGTTGAATAATTTACCATTTTTTCAAATATCAGTTTGTCGTGCTTATTTCCCAGGAGAATTATTCACATGTTGATATTTTTGTCAGATATACATCCTTCCAGTTGATTCATAGCTCTGGTTGTGGTTTCAGTAAGATTAATTTTATCTTTTCGCTAATACACGATTACGTGTCGTTTAATACTTTCCGTTTATGAGTTAATTAATGACAAATGACAACATCATAAGCACTATTCTTAAAATGTCGTTGGTAACTGATAACCCAAAACAGTCCAATTTTTCAAAAATATATTAAATCTGGTTGTTTAATTTTGAAACTCCAAAATATTTAAAATAGATTGTAAAAGGTGACGTCATCAATGCTAGAACAGGATTTTTTAACGTTTTACCTCTTTAATAAATCCTCTATCGGTAAACTTGCGTTTCCGTATTCAACGATCTGTAAGTAACATTACAATGACCGACCGCGGTTCCTGTACCTATTGATAGGAAATTAATAAAATCGTGTTTTACGTTAGTTTTTTCCCCCAAAAACTATCAACACTATCATTTATGAATCAAACTTTATTTTTAACGCAACCTTGAATGAGTAAATGTTGCCGGTATCAAAAAACCTTGCGAAATATTTATGTAAGAATTATGTGGATATTGTTATGACAAAAACGCGCTCAAGTTGGCAGTCGACGTTCGTTTGTTTTGTTCTCAGACGCACGTCAAGCTTACACATTAAAGATTAATAATAAAAAAAAGCACCAAGACGGGGAAACCCAGACTTGTTATTTTTGTTATTTTATATCGTCGAAGAGTCACTTTTCTTTTGTAGTTATTGCGGTTTTGATGCGGTTAATTATACTTTAAAATTAAAATACTGAGCTGTGTGTATTTAATTAACGTAACGAACAAACGAGTTGAATCTTCGTTGAATGCAACAGACTGCAGAAAGCGAAATGTCAGGTGTATACAACGAATGAAACAAGCAAACGTAGAGTACAGAACCACTTCACGATTGTTTTTTTTCTTTTAAGCGGGGAGTATTGTGGCGGTCGTTTTTTTTTTTCAATTATTTGTTATAACGTTGTCTCTTCTATGTATACCAGTTCCGTCGCCCCCGTACATCGTGAAACAGCCCCCAACCGACGAAGTCCTTTTCCAAGTAGAAAGTGGCGGCGAAACCGACAAACCATTTTACATAGAATGCGAAGCGGTAGGCGAGCCCGCCCCCAAATACCGCTGGATTAAAAACGGCAAGCCGTTCAAATGGCAAGCATACGACGATCGTATATCCCAGCAACCCGGACGCGGCACGTTGTCAATCTCAAAACCTCAAGACGTTGATTTAGGACAATACCAATGTTTCGCCGAAAACGAGCACGGAGTCGCCACTTCCAACTCCGTCTTCATGCGAAAAGCCGAACTGAACTCATTCAAAACAACCCAGCCTGTATCACTCACAGGAAACGAAGGTGAGCCGTTCAAGCTAACCTGTGAACCCCCTGATGGATGGCCGAAGCCTATCGTTCACTGGATCTACTTGTACACGAGCGGGGGCTTCAAAACGATTAATAGCTCCCGAATGACGATCGATCCCGAAGGGAATTTATGGTTCTCGAATTTGACCAAATCGGATGTTACGAATAACTATAAATACGCTTGTGCCGCCACCTCGCCCTTCAAGCACGAGTACAAGTACGGGAACAGCGTTCTCTTGAATGTCGTTTCCACAGGAGTGTCGGCCGTATCGAATAAATACGAACCTGTTCTTCAGTACGTGTCGAGGAAGAACACAGTTGCGTATTTAGGGAAACAACAAAAGCTGTATTGTATTTACGGCGGGACGTAAGTATTTTAGGACTTGTCTCGGCAGGCGATTGACTTTGATGACTTGCAGACCGCTACCTCAAACGGTGTGGTCCAAAAACGGTAAGCCTATAATATCATCGGATCGAATAACGCAAGACAATTACGGTAAGTCACTCTTAATCCGAGTCGTCGATTTCGAGGACGAAGGTACCTACACTTGCGAAGTCAGCAACGGGGTTAAGGAAGCCAAATCGTACTCGATTAATCTTAAAGTTTACGGTAAAACGAAACCGGGTTGTTCGACACGCCACTAATCCGCAAATTGTAGCCGTTCCGTACTTTACGAAGGAGCCTGAACGCATAAACGCCGCCGAAGGCGAAACCGTCGAATTCCGTTGTGAGGCAGGCGGCGTGCCGAGACCGGAGATCAAGTGGATCCATAACGGAAAACCGATAGCCGAGGCTCCTCCAAATCCGAGAAGACGCGTCGAAAGTAACAGGATTTTGATCGAAAGACTGACGAAAGGTGATACCGGGAACTATGGTTGCAACGCTACTAATTCTTTGGGTTACGTTTACAAGGATGTCTACGTCAACGTGCTTTGTATGTGTACGAAATGGGGAAAGTCGTGGTTGATTGTTGGTTTTTAGCACTTCCCCCGGAGATCATAGAGGCCCCTAAGGATACTCAAGCTGTGGACGGTCAGGACGTGACCATGATTTGTAAAGTCTTGGGTGCGCCTAAGCCGTCCGTCAAGTGGAGTTTGAACGACAGAGAACTAACTGGCGGCCGCTACCACGTGCAAAACAACGGAGATTTGCTAATCACGAACGTCCAGTTTGATGACCGAGGCAACTACACTTGTTTCGCCGAAAACAAATTCGGGACTGCTGCCGAAAAAGCACAATTGTTTGTCAAATGTAAGAGGAATGGTGCGTTGAAACTAACGATAAAGAATTTTTTCCAGTTCATACTTATATTACCGACGGTCCCGAAGACTACGAAGTGGCAGCTCATACATCCGCAACTTTTAGGTGTAACGCAGTTAGTGATGATTCTTTAGATTTAGAAATAGAGTGGTTGAAGAACGATCAACCTATAGATTTTGAAGAAGAACCAAGATTCGTGCGATCGTCGGATTATTCTTTAACCATCACTCAAACTAACGAATTGGATTCAGGGACCTATACTTGCGTAGCTAGAACCGCGTTAGATAAAGCTTCCGCTAACGCTCAACTTATCGTCCAGGGTATGTAGTTGCGTAATTTCAATAACCTGAAAAGAAAAATCGCGTTTGTAGATGTACCAAACAAACCCCACATGGAAGGTGTGGAATGTCACGCTAAAGATGCCACTATTCGGTGGAAATCAATGGGTGACAACCGTGCTCCAATTTCGCATTATATTATCGAATATAATACCACATTCACGCCAGAAACTTGGACTGCTGCATCCAATAACGTCCCGGCTACTGATATGAGCTACAATGTAAGTTCCGGGAGAACACAACCTTTGAAAACATACATAACCGGGAACTTCCTTTCAAGGTTCCCATGAGTCCCTGGACCAACTACACCTACCGCGTGATCGCAGTCAACAAAATCGGTAAGTCCTTACCATCCGGTCATTCCGACGTCTGCCAAACCGAGGCTGATGTCCCCTACAAAAATCCCGACGATGTCAAAGGCGAAGGTGACGAACCCGACAACTTGATCATCACTTGGACGGTAAGCTAAACGAATTATTGTTTGAATTATACCTAATCCCGTTAATAGCCCATGCCGAAAATTGAACATAACGCCGACAAATTCCACTATCGGGTTTCTTGGAAACGCGACATCCCTGAAGCTGAATACGAAAACCAGGATATAACCGACTGGAAAGTCAAGCGCTTTGTTGTCGAAAACCAACCAACGTTCCAACAATATCGGATCAAAGTAATCGCCATGAATTCGAAGGGCGCGGCTAACGTGGCACCTCAAGAAGTGATCGGATATTCAGGTTCGTTGTAGCGGGTAGCCGTCGATTCTTGGTCTGCGGTAAGCATCAATAACTAGACCTGTGGAGTGATTTGAGAACCGAGAACCACGAAGTGACGGCTGTCCGTTGTTGTAGCGTAAGCGGTAGCGGGTAACCGTCGACTCTTATTTTGCTATTCGCGCTTGATACATCTTTCCTCCTTATCCCCGAGGAACTATTTCTTCCCAAAGAACCGATAACCGCGATCCGGTGGCTATCCGTTCACAAAAATGTCGGTTTGCGGTACACCACGAACTAACTTATCAAACGTAACAATTTGTTGCACGTCAAAAAGTCGTAGAAAGTTCAGATTCATTGTTGTAGCGTAAGCGGTAGCTGGTAACCGTCGACTCTTGTTTTGCTATTCGCGCTTAATACATCCTTCCTCCTTATCCCCGAGGAACTATTTCATCCCAAAGAACCGAGAACCGCGATCCGGTGGCTATCCGTTCACAAAAATGTCGGTTTGCGGTACACCACGAACTAACTTATCAAACGTGACAATTTGTTGCACGTCAAAAAGTCGTAGAAAGTTCAGATTCATTGTTGTAGCGTAAGCGGTAGCTGGTAACCGTCGACTCTTGTTTTGCTATTCGCGCTTGATACATCCTTCCTCCTTATCCCCGAGGAACTATTTCTTCCCAAAGAACCGAGAACCGCGATCCGGTGGCTATCCGTTCACAAAAGTGTCGTTTTGCGGTACACCACGAACTAACTTATCAAACGGAACAATTTGTTGCGCGTCAAAATGTCGCAGAAAGTTCGGATTCATTGTTGTAACGTAAGCGGTAGCGGATAGCTGTCGATACTTGGTCTGCGGAGAGGTACTTTTAGCATCAATAACTAGACCTGTGGAGTGATTTCTACTCTTGTTTTGCTATTCGCGCTTGATACATCCTTCCTCCTTATCCCCGAGGAACTATTTCTTCCCAAAGAACCGAGAACCGCGATCCGGTGGCTATTCGTTCACAAAAGTGTCGTTTTGCGGTACACCACGATCTAACATATCAAACGGAACAATTTGTTGCGCGTCAAAATGTCGTAGAAGGTTCGGATTCATTGTTGTAACGTAAGCGGTAGCGGATAGCCGTCGAGTCTTGGTCTGCGGTAAAATACTTTTAGCATCAATAACTAGACCTGTGGAGTGATTTCGTCGCAAAGAACCGAGAACCACGAAGTGACGGCTGTCCGTTGTTGTAGCGTAAGCGGTAGCGGGTAACCGGCGACTCTTGTTTTGCTATTCGCGCTTGATACATCCTTCCTCCTTATCCCCGAGGAACTATTTCTTCCCAAAGAACCGAGAACCGCGATCTGGTGCCTATCCGTTCACAAAAGTGTCGTTTTGCGGTACACCACGAACTAACTTATCAAACGGAACAATTTGTTGCGCGTCAAAATGTCGTAGAAAGTTCGGATTCATTGTTGTAACGTAAGCGGTAGCGGATAGCCGTCGATACTTGGTCTGCGGAGAGCTACTTTTAGCATCAATAACTAGACCTGTGGAGTGATTTCGTCGCAAAGAACCGAGAACCACGAAGTGACGGCTGTCCGTTGTTGTAGCGTAAGCGGTAGCGGGTAACCGTCGACTCTTGTTTTGCTATTCGCGCTTGATACATCCTTCCTCCTTATCCCCGAGGAACTATTTCTTTCCAAAGAACCGAGAACCGCGATCCGGTGGCTATCCGTTCACAAAAGTGTCGTTTTGCGGTACACCACGAACTAACTTATCAAACGGAACAATTTGTTGCGCGTCAAAATGTCGCAGAAAGTTCGGATTCATTGTCGTAGCGTAAGCGGTAGCGGGTAACCGTCTGGGATTCACGCGTAACGTAGCCTTTCCCCTTTAGTCTGTGACACGTTCCGATCATAAATTAAGTTTCTTGGAGTGATTCCTTGGCAAAGAACCCTTCTCGAGAACGCTGGTTGACGTTAGTGTCATTGCAGGCGAGGACCATCCAGTGGAAGCTCCTTCCAACTTCACCCTGCTCAAAATTCAGGGTCCAAAAACAGCTCTTCTGAGCTGGAATGCCGTAGATAAAAGGAACGTGCGTGGGCACTTGAAAGGGTACAAAATTAAGACATGGAGTGACATATCATCGCCTATGCACAACGAGATACAAGTCCAAGGTTACGTTACTAAAGCGTTAGTGGATAATTTAGATCCATTTACGCGAAATTACGCTCAAGTGTTTGTTTACAACGGTAAATACAACGGACCACCTAGTGAGACTTTGAGGTTCGTCACTCCGGAGGGTGTTCCTGAGGCGATGTCGTACCTCGAGGCTTACCCGTTAGGGGCGTTGCACTCGAACGATCCTAGCAAATCCGCAACTTCTGCGTTCCTACTCACGTGGAAGAAGCCCGAAAAACCGAACGGGGTCCTAAGGGGTTATAATATTTTCTACAGACCCATAATCGACGGGACTACGAATAGCAGACTAGCGAGAAACCCGCAGATCAACGGTGGGGATGTCCTAAGCGCTAAGTTAAGTGGACTTAAGCCGGATACGAACTACGTTATATATATCACGGCACGGACTGACGCCGGAGAATCTAAAGAGTTCTACATTGAGAGGAAGACTAACCCAGCTGGGTTCAGCGCTCCACCAGGTGTACCCGATTTCGACTGGGAACCCGTGAAGGCTTCCGAAGATGGGAAGGGCACAGTTAGGATACAGTGGAAGCCGGACAAGAACAGCAACCCCGGTTCACATTTTATAGTCAAATATAAAAAAGAGGGTGAACCGAATTATGAGGAAGTGCAAGTTTTGAATGACGATTTTGTTGAAATTCCTGGTATCGCTCAAAGCGAATCGTACGATTTTAAGGTTACGTCAGTGGACGGCGACCACCATGTGGACAGTAGGGTCAAAAGTATTAACATATATTCTGACGGACCGCTTATTAAAGCAAACGAAAATATGGCGACTGCTGGTTGGTTTATCGGAATGATGCTAGCGATTGCTATTCTGTTACTGATTTTGATTGTTGTTTGTATTATAAAGAGAAATAGGGGCGGGAAGTATGCCGTACATGAGAGGGAACAAGCGAATGGACGCCATGATTACCCGGATGAAGGAGGTTTTCATGAGTATTCGCAACCGTAAGTCAAATCGTGACTTAAGTAATCCCGGGTTAAGTAACTTTGCTTATAGGTTAGATAATAAGTCTCATGGTAGAGCTTCTGTGAGCAGTGAGCCTAAAGTAGGGCCAGAGAGTGATACGGACTCGATGGCAGAGTATGGTGATGGAGATACAGGTAAGCACGGTTGTCGCTTTATTCATCTTTTTGCTTTCTTTTGTTTTTGAATTGTTATTTTAATTTATATAGAGGGTATGAATGAGGACGGGTCATTTATTGGGCAATATGGCCGTAAACGTGGTCAAGGAGAAACAACGTCACAAGGGTTTGCCACTCTTGTTTAATAGTAAGGTTCAATTTTGATTTTTTTTTTTCTAAATCTTCTAACTAGCTTATGTATAGAGTAGTGGTGGGGGTTTCTTGCTTTTTTCGAAGTATTGGCTTTCATCTAACCAAATGACCAACTATGTGTTTTAAATGGTGTATGAGCTTTTCACGAAGTATCAACAGTTCGTTGTTTTCGCCGTAGTACTTCATGGAGAGCTCGATCTTGTGTCTTCAGCATAAGCATCCACCCAATCGTCGAGTCCTATTTAAGTCGTTCGACGGTTTGGTGGTGCTTAAGGGTCTTTGATGCTTGTCGATTTGAAGCAAGCGTGTACTTAAGGGTGACTATTTACAGGGCGTTTCACAGAAGACGGATCTTTCATAGGTCAATATGTTCCAAGCAACATGAAGCAGCTTGGCCCACCCTCAATTACGGCAGGGGTTAATAATAATGCGTTGGCCACGTATGTATAAACATACCGTGACTGTAAGCTTACTCTAAACTAATTCTTCTTTACACATTTATTTTTTGCTATTGCAGTGTTGTGACATTTTTTTAAATTTTATTTTGTGTACTTTATATAGGTGAAAAAAATCTCAAAAAAGTTATTTTTTATGAAAGATATTTATTGTTTGACAATGTGTTCTGACTTTCATTTCGGGTAACTTTAATTCGTCCATTTCTAGGTTAAACTATTATAATTTAAAAAATAAAAAAATCAAAAGATTTAATGTATAGTAATATATTTTGTTTTGCGTTTCAATTTGAAAATGACAGTGGAGCGCTCATTTTGAAATTGTAACGACGTAATCTGTTAAGTACTGGAATACTTTGTGTATCTTTATGTATTATATAGTTATTACTTATAGGATCATATATTTATAATGTTTTCATATTATTGCCCAAGGAATTACGTTCATATAATATATAACATTTGAAAGATCTATAAATTTATAGACATGTTTCATGCTTGAAAAGTAATTATTTATAAGTTAGGTAATAAATTTGTCTGGATTGCTTTAATGTCAGTCATTTTTTAAATTATAGTTTTATTCTTGACACTGCCTAATTTAGAAATATCAAGTGACATTGATTTGGACGATATTAGGAGTACAATAAGCGGTATCCACGCGTAGATGATTGGCTTTAAGTCGCTTTATGTGAATTTGCGCATTCAGACATCACAAAAATTCATATAAATTGACTTGAAATTAAAAGACTTATTGTACAGAATCTCGTTTAAAACATGCTATTATAAAAATAATTGAAATTAATCTAAGTAAAGTAAGTTAAGCTGAAATATTTTTTTTACGATTTTCGTAGTTTGTAGATTTTGAAATTTTACATTGCAATAATTTAACAGTTACACTACGTCGAAATAGTAATGTAGATTATTGCGCTTTATTTTTTTGTATACGTTAAGATAAGGCATAGGCCCTATATCATTAAATTGTAAAATATTTTTGTTTTTTTTTCTTTGTGATCAGATTTACAACATATTTTCTGAAAAATTGGGAATTTTGACACTAAACAATAATAACTGTGTCAATTTGGCTTCTGTAAAACAGGACATGGGTGCTAGTATTGTGGTTATTAATTTGTTGCATGATTGTTGCTTGTTATGTTTCATGAACAACAGCTTCCTTTCCATTGTATGGGGTAAAAATAAAGGGAAATACTGCTAGCGTCTCGAAAAATATTATTTTGCGTAAATTTAGTAGTTTGGCTTTTGTAAGTGTAAAGTATAATAAAATGTTTTGTCGCCGAGCACGAATTTTTTTGATAAACTATATTGGCAGAATGAATGCACTGTTGGATATTAGGTAAGATAATTCAATATATTTATTATCAACTACTGTAACTGCTTTACTAGTTGTTCTATTATAAGATGACTATAGTATTTTTTTAATATGTCTTGTACAAAACGTATTCATAAAAACAATTCAGTTGTGGTTTTGTAATGGCAGCTGTAACTTTATTATTGTATTATAAATAAATGGAAGTAATTGTAAATGTATGCTTTCAATTTTTGTAAGCTGTAAAAATTGTAGTGTTCTTCCTGGGATAATTATTCAATCTTAATAGCCTCTTTACTAAACAAATAGTCCACTAGTATACTATAAACACTTGATCGTTATTATTTTTATACACTTTTTTAAACAATTGTAAATGCCTTCTATTTAACCTGAGTTGTAAATTTTTTATATGATCCCTGTTTTACAAAAATATTGTCATAATTTTTGCACTTGATAAAACTTTAATGAAAATACGTGATGCTATTTTTTCCCCTTCCATTCACCTAATTATTGGACATACTTAAACGCGCATGCGTTGCTTATAACATTAGGCATCTCACAATATTGAAATTCAATATACAATGTATCGTTCCTTAAATAGTAGCTTTAAATTTAACGACGGAATCTTACAGACACGTAATTTTAATTATGGTGACGCATATTTATTGCCGTCAGTTGTATCAGTAAGGAAATCTGCACGCCAAGAATAGATATTGTAAAACTTTAGAGAGAAATAAAAATTACAATTAACGTGAGATTTTTTAACAACAATACAAAGTTTGTTCCCTACAATCAACGGAATACATTCGCTAAAGATTAATAGTATAACAATAACTATAGCGTCATTTTACTTCTAAAAATCATAAAAAAGTATAAAAAACGCATTTGACAGCGATTCAAAATTCCCGCCTTAGCTCTCAGTTACGTTAAGTACAGTCGATTCATCAAAAATGACTTGCGTGGTCCCGCCTGCGCAAAAGCCACCTTGGCGCTCTTTTTAAATCGAGTTAATCAGTTAGGGTCCGAAAATCAAAGATTTGTGGTCATTAATGTCAACTAACAGTTAAAAAATCTACAATTTCGTGCGTTAGGACACTATTTTATTGCGTGAAGCGTAGTTTAAATGTTTTTTTTTCCGTAGAAGCGACTGGCGCTTTATTTATAGATTTTGTAAAAGATTAGAAGATCATTGACCGGAAAGGAAGCACCTGGTTGGAGCCGAAGGCTCTAATTAAACTGGTTGCTTATTAGTGATCGTTAGTATTAATAGGTATTGGTGAAGATGGTTTCACATGGGTGCGTTTTTACGGACCACGTCATGTGACTGACTGTGACCAATCAAACTATTACTATTAGACCCGTGATTGGTTAAAAAATCTTGAAATTTTTATTCAAACCGGGACACCACAGTGCGTCTAGCGAATAAACTCATTAAAACAGACAAGCGCAGTAACGCATGTGTGATATTTGAGGTTAGATTCTGTTGTAAGTGACTTAGTAAACCAAGGACGAATGACTTGAGGTTGAGTTTATGTGTTGAACGCATTCGTGATAGTACTGGTCGTCGCAATTTGTATATCATATACAAGCTATTGTAATTGTAAATGAAAAATTTAGTTTAAAATTTAAAACGGTTTATTTTATTGAGGGACTTACACTACATTGAAAATGTTTGTTATATAGGATCAATTATCAAAAAATATTTTTCAAAGTGGGTCTTTACTTGTTCCCATTGTTCAATAACACGTAGGCCACAACAAACTTTAATAAATTTTGTAGGTGTTCTGTTCGTTAGGTGTATTGTAGATTGTAGGTATACTTTTGCAAGTTTAATCAGATTTATCAAGTTATAAGTTGGGAAAGTGCTAGTAAAGAGTTAAAATCCGTATTAATGACCACATCAAGCGTAATATTTGTTGCACAAGGTTGAATATGCGCATATATTCCTGACGGCGTCCATGTGAAAGCACCCTAAGTGCTGGACTGTCTTGGACATAACAACGGACATTTTCGACGGTTGGGGAGGTCCATTAAGATAAAATTTTTTGCCTATTATATAAGTAGCAGTGCAATGGCGCCCTACTGAACTTGGGACCGTCGTGCCCCATTCTGAAATCACGCGATTTTGACCACGCGGTACGATAAAGGTTCAACTTGAAGCACGTAAATTGTATAATTCAAGCGGTGACGAGTGAAAATTTAATGTAATGCAGAATGGAACATTGTTCCCACATGTTTAAATAATAAACAAAAATTTTCTAGGTTGTCCGTCTTTGTCCGACGAGTGCGGAAAGTCGCTCCTTGTCTTTATTAATTAACGCGTTTACACTTTGGACAGGTAGTAGGCATTGTAAATAGGAATCAATGTGCGCTTTAATTGATTATTTGCAAATGTGTTTTAGTGTTCGAAGGTTGTGTTGATGTGATTCTACAAAAAACATAACTTTTTAGGTTATGTAACGTCGATAATCCTTGGGGTTTAGTATAGAATATTCATAAGGATGGCTCTAGAGGTAAGTAATGCCGCGTCCATATTCATTTTTTCAATATTTCAAATGATTTGCACTTTTTGTGTGTAGTTGGAAGTAATCAAAACATCAGGAAAACCTTTGGGAAAAGTTTCCATTCCAAGTTCTTCTACAATTAAAGACTTAAAGAAAGAAATTTACAAAAATTTCAAGGTCGCGGTTAATAGACAATCGATCCGAAATGGACCCAAAGGCAGAGACGAGAAAGACAGTCTTCAAATTAGTAAAATTAGCCTTGAGAGACCCAATTCTATCTATGTGAAAGATTTAGGGCCACAAATCGGGTGGGACACGGTTTTCTTTCTAGAGTATGCGGGCCCGATATTGTTGTATGGGGCTCTATTTCTGTACCCACAGTGCGCCTATGGCAATGAAACAGTCTCCAAAGGACATGGACAAGATGCTTCTAAAATTTTCCCATTTTTTATATTTCCAGTGGGTTTAATTAACGAGATTTGTGGCGGGAGTACAATTAAAGTACAAGACAACGCTTAGTACGTTGGTTTTTAGCACGTATCAAGTAATAATGTAGATGTTTTAGCTACGCCGGAATTTTGTGGTCTATACACTACATTAAAAGAATTTTGGAGACGGCGTTTGTCCACAGGTTTTCCCATGGTACAATGCCAATTTTCAATTTGTTCAAAAATTGTGGGTACTATTGGGGGTTTGCTTTGTATGTAGCCTACCACATTAACCACCCACTGCATACACCTCCACCGGCGTGGCTCTTCTACTTTGGCACGTTTATATTCATAGTATGTTTAATTGTAGGTGAATTTGACTATGTTAAATGTATTGGTTCTAGTTTTGTGAACTCGGAAATTTGAGTATTCACATTTTGTTACGAAATTTACGTCCTCCAGGCACTTCTGTACGCAAAATTCCAGTACCTGATTCTAACCCATTCACTAAATTGTTTAATCTGGTGTCTTGCCCTAATTACACCTACGAGTTTGGTGCATGGGTTGGATTTACCCTTCTAACTGGGTGTTTACCAGGTATATGCATCCTATAAAGTAGTATTCAAATAAGAACAATGTTTTTCTTTCAGTGTTCATCTTCGCACTTGCCGGCTTGTATCAAATGACGGTATGGGCAATCGGTAAGCACAAGAAATACCGCTCGGAATTTCCCAACTACCCGAAAAATCGAAAATCGATAATTCCATTTCTTATTTAATAAAAGTTGGTGCATTTGGGGTTTTGGACATGTATTTACTAGTTATTTTTTTTATTTGGTGCGTTGATTAATAAAAAGTTTCGTGGATTAAACTGTGTTTTATTGTAAAATCTTACAACAGTGATGTCACAATTTAGCAATTGTGTTCATTGTTCTATACATAAATATAGTATTGTACAAAAGCTGAAGTACTACTACTTTACAATCAAATAAATTAACACTAACTGGACCTGAGTTGTACTAATTACAAGAACACAAACCTAAAATTATTTTCACCTCATTTTCAATAATTGCACTTTGAATTGTTGGGGCAAGATTTGTATGTGAGAGAGATCTTTTAAGCGCTTTTTCAAATAAATTAGTTATGGGCAACTACAAGTCAATTAGATTATCCACAGCAACATTGCCAGTCTTAACAACTTTGGTTTCACTGTAACTTTCATAAAACGTTGAGGTTTCCACATGGCTGCAAAAAGTGGATTTCTTTTCTTTGTGTTTCACCTTTTTTACTTCGACGGTTTTTGGTTGAGTGTCTTTGGGCTTTTTGCTTCGCATGTAGTCCAACACGGGGTCCTGTCCGGTCTTCATGCTGATTTTCGTTTTTAGAATTACGTATTGGCACCGCCAGTACTCGTACGAGTGCACTTTCAGCGTCGAAACCCATTTGTTTACGTCGGCGTCGCAGCGACACGAAAATATATGTTTGGATTCGTTATCTTTGAATTTATCGTTTACTTTGAATGTTATGGAAAAGGCGAACGGGATTCCTTTGTGGGGTCTCTCGTAGGCCACCTGAGCGTTTTCTAGGACTAAGACACCAAGTGGTTGTTGTTGTTCTTGTTCGGTGGTGTTGACTCGGTAGTAGAACAGTAGGTTGTTGAATAATTTAAAATGTCTTTCTTTGAACGAGGGTTGTTGGTACCAGTCCGACCAGTCGTTGCCTTGGGGCTTCATATGGTGTAAAATTCCCTCTAAATCTACTTTACTTTCACCAACGGACATCAATTCTTTATCGTTGAACCTCATCTTGATTATGTTGAGTCGGGTGTATAATATCACTTATTTTTAGAATCTGATCACAAATCACAATTCTCAGAATTTGGCAAACTGCACATTTTACTTCGGATTAAATTAAATAATCGAAGTTGACAACATAACCTAGCTTTTGTGACGTTTGTTTTAAAATCAATCAAGCGTTGGTGATTTCGGTGTCGGCAGGTTGGCAGCCATGCGTGTTAAATTTGGTTACCATTTTAAAAAACTGCAAATGTTTTATTATTGATTGTAGTTCTTGAAATTAAACAGCGATTTTTTCACAGTTTAAGTTAAGAGAACAACAAAACTTGTTTCAATGAAGCCTGATTTAATAGTGATTAATAAGTATTCAAGAAAAAAGTAATTAAAGTAAAACTGATAAGCACAATGATGCAGAGGTATTTACAAATGATTCAGAAACAAGAAATATTTATGGATGTAGAGAATGCTAATGAATATTGTGAATAAGATGAAGAAAATGAAAATTCCGATGACACAGACTAAGCTTTTCAATAATAATTATTTTAGGAAGTAATTCTACTTTTGTTAATGTTCTTTTATATTTTTTGCATTAGTTGAGAATTTGTTTTTTTTTTATTTCCCGAGCGTAAGCGAATGTATGTTTGATTTTTACCCAAAACGTCCGGATTTTTGAAAAAAAAATCAAAATTAGAAAACAACATTTTGCAATTTAATTATGAATCTGCAAATCCGAATGCTTTGAAATTTCCAGATGTTTTAAAGTTATGATAAGCAAATAGATTTGTAATCAAAATATATTTACTAATCCCCCACTAAAAAATTGATGACGTCACCTCAAAATTTTGCTGAATAAAGCCTGTCTTAAATGTGCAAAATATGATGACCTTTATACTTGTGATTTATCACTGCATTAATAATTTTTAGATTTGCTTATACGAAGTGTCTCAAAAAAATTAAGTGAATAAATCAAGAATTGCAAAGCTGAATACTTTGAAATCTTGGAGACGTTTTGAAGTTATTGTAAGCATGGTAAATTGTTATTCAAAATATATCTCTTTATTCCCCCCCCAAAAAGTTGATGACGTCATCACAAAACTGTGTAAAGAAAAAAATCAACTTGAAAATAGTCATTTATTAGAGCTATTTTAACATTTTGAACATGTTTTAAGTTTCTTGTTGTGAAAACAAGTCTACGTATAAAACGTAGACTTGTAAAACTTGTAAAAAAACGGCAAGACATAAGCTCCGCCCACCCACCCTGTCTCAATTGTGATGATTTTTTTTTTCATTCGCTGTCAGACCGAGCGGCAGAGTTTAATTATTGCAAAATTTATATTTCTCTACAAAATTTTAGTCTTTTAAGAACATATTACACATATTAATTTCTTCTAGAGAAATGAAGATTTTGCAGCTAAGCTCCGCCCTTCGACTTACGATGAATAAAAAAATCGTCACAATTGAGAGGGGGTGGGTGGGCGGGGCTTATATTTCGTACTTTTTTTTTTAATATACGAAATCTTCTTTTCCTAACAAGAAACTAAAAACATGTTTAAAATGGTATTTGTATACGGAAATAGCAATTGTTCTCGCATGTTTTGTCGCTTTTTGTCCTATTTTTATTTTCTTTTTTGTGACTTTGTCGCTTTTTGGACCCGTTTGTTTTTGCATTTTTGGAGATCTTTTTTGTTTTTTGACCTTTTCCTTTTTTTGTGGTTTGTAAGTCTCCTTTTTTGGCGATTTCTTTTCTCCTTTATTTTCTAGCCTTCTTTTGTGGACTTCTGTGTCGCTTTTTTCTAGCATTTTTTTGTCATCATTTTTGTGGCCTTTTTGTCCTTTTTTAAATTTCCTTTTTTGGAATGTTTTGGCATATTTTGTGGCACTTTTTTTGGTAGACTTTTTTGTTGCGTTTATTTATCGTTTTTCTCGCCTTTTTCAGCTCCATTTTAGCAACTAGTTGTGGAATTTTTAATCCCCTTTTTTAGTCACTTTTTGTCGTAACTTTTCGCCGGATTTTTTAAGATTTTTTTTGTCCTCTGCTCTTTCGTATTTTTTGTATCCTTTTTGCAATTTTTTTCCGTTTTTTGTAGCTTTCTGTAGTCTTTTTTTGTTGATTTTTTTGTCCCTAATTTTTACAACTTTTTTATGCCTCTTTTTGTCAGTGTTTCTGTCGCTTATTTTGACTTCTTTCTTTTAATTGCTTTTTTGTTATTATGACAATCTTTTTCTCATTTTAAATGGATTTTTGTCCCTTTTTTGTGTTTTTTGCTTTTTTGATTTTTTTTTACTTTTGTAGGCGTGTTTTGTGTTCTTGATGACACTTTTTCTAGTCGCTTTTTGCATTTTGGGGACCTTTTGTTGTGTTTTGTCCTCTTTTGCACCTTTTTTGACACTTTTTGGAAGTCAACTTTTTGGTGGAATTTTTTTGTCCTCTTGTTTTGTATCCTTCTTTTGTGGATTTTCATGGCTTTTTTATAACGTTTTTGATGGCTTTTTTATAATAATAATAATAATAAGGATTTTTGTTCCTTTTCTACTCACTTTTTATGTTTTTATTTTCTATTTCCGCATTTTTTGTCACTTTTGTGGAGTTTTGTACTTTTTGTTACTTTTTGTTAATTTTGTATTTTTGGGGAACAATTTTGTTGCGTTTTTTGTCTGTTCTTTAATCGTCGTTTTTGTTGTTTTTTTGACTCCTTTCTTTCAATCGCATTTTTTGTGACCTTCCTTAATCGCTTTTTCTACTCATTTTTTGTATCGACATATTTCTCATTTTTATAATTTTTTGACCTTTGTTCTCCCATCTTTTGTCGCTTTTTATCTTTTTTTTTCCTCCTATTTTTTATTCTCTTTTTTGTAACTTTTTGTCGCTTTTTGGATCCGTTTGTTTTTGCATTTTTGGGGATCTTTTTTCCCTTTTTTTTGACCTTTTCGTCCTTTTTTATGTCTTTTTTTGCCACTTTTTGTAAGTCGCGTTTTTTGGTGATTTTTTTTTCTCTTCTATTTTCGAACCTTCTTTTGTGGACTTGTCGCTTTTTATGTAGCGTTTTTTTTGTACCCTGCTTTTGCTTTTTTTTCGCCGTTTTTGCAGTCTTTTTGTGATTTTTTCATTTCCTTTTTTAGAACTTTCTGGCACATTTGGTAAGCATTTTTGATGGATTTTTTTTTTGTGTTTTTTCCTCTATTTTCCTAGTTTTTTTGTAGCAGTTTTTTGTTTTCTGTTTTTATAACTGTTTTGTCACCTTTTTCAACAGTCCCCTTTTTTGTCGTGACCTTTTCCTCGGATTTTTTATAAAGTATTTTTGTCCTCTGCTTTCGCATTTTTTGTGTCCTTTTTGGACTTTTCTTTATTTCCTTTTGTTCAAAGAAAATTATATGTAACTAAAAAAAAGTTCCAATCTCAATTGTGATGAATTTTTTATTCGTTGTCAGACCGAAGGGCGGAGCGTAATTGAAAAATACATATTTCCCTACAAACATTTTGAACATGTTTTAAGTTTCTTGTTGTGAAAACAAGACTACGTATATTAAGAAGAAAGTGCAAAATGATATACCCTCTACCCTTCATTTTCTTAGAGAGTAGGTCCTTTGCCAATTTCAGTCTTATCGTAGCAGGTAGTAGCCCCGCCCACCCACCCTCTCTTTTCTTAGAGAGAATGTCATTTGCCAAAATCAGTCTTTCTTGGCAGATACTAGCCCCGCCCGCCCACCCTTTATTTTCTTAGAGGATACGTCATTGCCAAAATCAGTTTTATCTTAGCAAGTAAAGATGACTAACTTTTACAAAAAATGATGAACATCTTCTTAGTGTTTAGTTGGTTATGCTTTAATGGAGAAATTGTCATTAAATGAAAATGGATGCAAATACACGAGTTGTGGCGGCAAATTTATAGATGAACAGTCCAGTAACAAACATTGAGTGAAAAAACAATCTTAATTTTAATTTTTCGAATGCAGTTTTTCTGAGCACGAAATTGAAATTTCAAATTCAGAACACAGAAAATTTGCTGCTCAACAAAGTCCCCGAGATTCTTTCAAACTAGTTCAAAACCAAAACAAGAGTATTCCCCGGGAGTCTTGCAGATGGCGCGATAAATCCCGCTGGCTCGACTAGGAACCGCGCCCTCCGCTTCTGCCACGTGGTTCTGTGTGATTTACCTCAATTCCATTTTAAATGTTCACTTTCTATGACTCTGATATTAAACTACAACTGAACAAGCCTTAAAGTTTCAAAAAGATCAATAAACAACGTTTAAATTCGCCATACACTCTCGTGAAATTTTAAACAGCAAAAAATTCTCTTCTGAGATTAAGATTGGACATCAGACAATTTTTATGATGGAAACATTAATCAACAAAATATAAAAAAACTAGCATTGATTTATAAAAACAAAAAAGATCCGGTGTGAAGTAAAACTTGTGTCTTATTTTAGCAAGTACTAGCCCCACCCACCCGCCCTTTATTTTCTTAGAGATTACGTCATTTGCCAAAATCATTCCCAACGTCTAGTTCTTTAGTTTAAAGATTAAATTTACTTTAATGGGATTACTGCGAGTTTTAAAACTTCTGCCACAATATGTTGGGACTTTTTCCTTCAATTTGAAACAGTTTTTATTTAACACGTTTAGTGATTGATGAAAATCAAAGATCATTACTGTCTGTTTCACTACTGTTGAGTTTTCAACACACATTATTAGAACTATCCCAAGGCTCAGTTCTAAATCTATCATTATTTAATCTGTATGCGACTGATTTCCATCGTCTAGTATTGAAGAGTGTGATAAGACGACTTTAGCAACACTTTAGGGACTTTGTCTGTTTCACTAGATTTATATGCTCATTTTTCTGACATTATTACCATTGTTTAAGTATAAATCATACACTTTAACAATGGTAATATTCAGATTCCATGAATTGACTACCTTCAGTACCGCGTTGTGGAATTTAATGTGTTCTCATTAAAATTTTTCATTTGATACAAGTCACGTTGGTAATAATAAATACCGATCATTAGTACCAACCACCACTAATTAAGCGGAATTTTAAACCAACTATTAGAAAAGTACTGATCATTGCCTTTGGTTGTTTTTTTCAAGCGACTTAAGTCGTGAGTATGAATAAGGTGTGAATTTTTGCTGGAGAAATAAAAAGTAGACAATGTCCAATGTCAATTTTGACATTTGTGATAACCTAGAATTTCTATTTCTGATTGTGTTTTAGTTCAGTGATTATTTTACAATAGTGGGTCTGGACGGGTTGTTTGGCAAGTATTACAACACACTAACAATTACTTACCTACTTTTCTTTACCTAAAACTGTCACTTCACTTAAGTACTTTGTTACAAGTTGTTAAATGGGAGAAAGGGTTTAGAAAAGAAAAATGTTAAGTGTTATATATTGTACATATATTTAAATTTTAATAATTACACAAATAAAACGAAAAGTTAAGAGACGTGATAAATAATCTAGACAGTAAAAATGTAAATTCCTAGAAAACTGAAAAGGAATACAAACAATATAATCACAGAATTTTAGAGCTATATTAATTAGTGTTATGTATGACTGAAATATACAATTTTTTACATTTTGATTTTCGCAGTAAAATATAGTTTACAAGCTTAACATTGTGATGTAATAAATAATTTAACAATACAAACATTTCTAAAAAATTTAAATATATACAAACATGGGCAATGAAAATAGATAAATAAAATATCGAGCTACGAATTTGACAAAACTTAACATCGAGGGGAAGGGGGGAACATGACTATTAAAAATTACAATTGGCTTAGATTACTTGCTAATACAATCTTTGGACAAATTACCATACCTCTCAAATCTCACTCACTTTCATCCAATCGTTAAAATCCCATTTTCCGTTGAGATCATAAACAGTAAGTTAGGAAAACATTTCTAAAAAAACGTTGCCAATTTTATTCGATCATGTCTCGTCTGTTTCAACTAAATTCAGTCTAGGGTTTGATGCAAAACTGGGATTTTAACAACACCCTATATAGTTCTTTTTGTGATGGTACAACAAATACACATCTATTCAAACAGAAGATGACTTTTTAAATAAGTTGTCTTTAATTTCACTGTAATAATTGAGCACTTTTGAGTAAAAAAATTTCACTGTTTAAACATTGTCATTTGGGTTGGCACCTGTCAGAGGCTGTTGCGCCTGAAAATGGCAAAAAACAAAATTACTAAAACAACACAAAACAAGCACGAAAACGACTAAACTAAGTTTGATGAACCTTCTAACGATACATTCGCTCTATGCACGCACAAATTAAAGGCAATGTTCGATGCGAACTAAACAGAAAGTAACCAGTTGCACTAACGAATCGTTTACAAGAGGGAAAACCTGATTTAAACGATCCGCGAGTCATTCGCTCATCCAAAATGAAACCTCGTCTGCACAGCGAATTTATTTGTCTTTGTGCAGAGTTTAATTGCTGATTTTTTTATATAATAACGCTTGAACGCTGGCCGAAATTACTTAAAAGTTTTGTTTATATTGGGAAGAGTTGCAGCTGAATGAGACCTCAAGGTGGATACATAACCTAAGGTGAGACAATCAATTCACCACAAGGTGAATAACGAATGACAGGTGGGTCCATCAGCAGAAACTCCTTAGGTTGTTTTTAATATTTAGGGTTTTGTTTTATCGTTTGGTTTTTATATGGTTTGTTTATTACTGCATCAGACGAACCTTCGTTTAGTGGACGATTAAGTATCTAGGCACTAAATCTATATAGGTGCTAACGTTATATAGATTTGTGGTTCTATTGTTAAACAGAAATTCTACAAAAATGAACATACTCACCAAGTTTCGAATTCATGACGCGTGAAACAAAAGAAAAAATTCTAACGGTTTCTGAATGATGCAATGGTTAAGAAGTGACGTACAATTCCTTATGAAAGAAAGCAATTGCTTTGAAAGCAAATGATTTCTTCGAACAAGCACACTATATTAAGAATTACAACTAACGGACTGTTTTTATATATTTATATATACAACAATACAACAAGTTAAAGCACACATACATAAAGTTTAACTACAAATGTTATAGAAGGTGTAGTAGATTTTTTAATTAACATAGCTTAAAATAAGCTATTTATGTTGGCACAGCGTTTTTATCAATAAAGTTGATTACAAAAATATCAGTTTGCAATCCAATTAGAAGCTAATACTGATGGACAAGAATATATTACCTATTAGTAAAAATGTTATGCTATTAACACTTTTAAAGTCTTAAGTGCTTTAATATTTACTTATTTTAACCTAGTCAGTAATTCACTTGATTTGAGCATGCCTTTGTACGAAACTGTTAAATTCAAGTCAAAAATAAACATTCTGCTATGCTGTCATTTCAGTTCTTATGATTAAAAAAAAATATGAATGACAATCCCATGCAATACATGAATACTGAGTATGTTAAAAGTTACTTAATGGACTGATTATCTGGATGTTATATTGTTATAATCCAACGTTAGAGCTCTTACCTCTTCACCCACGGTACTTAAATACGGCCGCGATGCGGGGTACTGGTTTTTCTCTAACGAAAATTGATCTTCAGTTGTTTTACGGTACACAGGATTATCGAAATTCATGGATGTCATATTGCGCTTCAAGTATCTTCTATAGAAAATGTATACAACCTAACAACCAACCAATTAAAAAATATTCCTCATCAACGCTAAAAATACTTACGAAACCGATTATAACCACGACAGCGAATGCTATAACAATCACTATAACCGCAATTGTACCATCATCAGTGGTTTCCGGGACCGCGTTAGTAGGATGCGATTTATTCGCTGTACCTAAAAACAAACTCCATCAACGAAAAGAAACCAAACTCGAACGAAAGTGAAAACACAAGCTACAGAAGCAGTGAAAATAAGCGAAAGAGAAACACAAAGTAACAGAGTAAGACCATCACCACTAGGAAACGAACGAACTCCTCAAAACAAAACGTTTCGGTACTCACTTTCTGTAACTATTTCTGTCATTGATGAATAATCTGTATATGTTATAGAATTTACGGTGGTCGTTAATGTTTCTGTCAAATAAATATAACAAAAATAAATAAACAAAATAAAAAAACAAATCAGACGACACGAATCAAACTTACCATCTTGGACGCAAGTCAGTCCATCCGCCAACATCCTCAGGTTTTGAGGGCAAGCGCAAGAAATACGTGGCGACATTGCGTTTATCAGAGGAGCCGGCAAGCAAAGGTGTGAGCAGTGGCCGTTAACCGCCTGGCAGTGGTTGTCGCCGTCGGGTTGACGGTAGGGATGGTAGACATGGATTACCATTGGGTCTTGTATCTGGAACGACGATTTGGTATGACCCAAGTGTATATATCTTAAATCTTAATGAAATGATCTAAAGGGGTCCGCAAGGCTCTACATTGGACCCTCTTTTTTTCGTTGTGTCAATGATCTTTTGCTCCGTAATTATTGGAAATATTTTAATTGACAACCGTCTAATTTTCGAGTGCTATAGAGTATGTAATAAATTGGATAAAGCTTGCTTTGTATTAAATAAATTAAGGTAACACTATGAACACAAATGTATTAGTAATCTATTTCCACTTCTGGATAGAATCTATTTTACAGTGGAGCCTCTAATTACATGAATTATGCAATTGTAACCCAAAAAGGGATAATTAGATCCATGTTGAAGGTAAATTATTAAGAATCCAGCAAACCTTTATTTACATCTTTAATGATATTCCATTTCCTGTTCTGCTTACTAGGATCGAGAAAAAAAAATCCAACGACCATTGAAATTTACTGAGAGTGCGAAAAATGGTCTCCCGTTTCCGTCTGTCTGTGCCGATTTTTATTGAATCTCCGACACGCGACAGTCTGTCGATGTATAAATATGAACAGGCAAAGTTAAGTATGCTGAGAGGGCATTTTTTCCCGCTGGTTATCTGCTTTAAATATATTTTCCATTGTGCGTACTTATGCGGATCGCGTCCTCTTACTCCTCAGTGGATATTCTAGGCAGTTCAAGAACGGGAAACGGGAAAAATATCACACGGTATCAAGTGGACACCGTGACGTAATAAGTGAAATAAAGGTCGTTGCGCAATAGATCGAAGTCTTAGTATAGTGTGTGGTAGGGAAACGATTGACTACGGGTGACTATAATCCGTTGTAGTGTTTTGGGAGGGTGGCGGTTTTCTATGTAAGGGTAGTACAAATATAGCGAAGTGCGCATTCAAGTTAAGTACTTACCATTTCCGTGGCCGTAACGGGTTGTACGTCGCTTCCAGTAAATTTGTTAGCTTTGAAAACGGCCGCTTTGTCCCAGTCTGTCCAATAGACCCAATCCTCAAAGGTAGTAATGGAAAATGGATGTCTTAAAGAATCCAGGGAGTATAGAATAAGTTGCCTGTTCACTCCATTATAATCGCAGGACGAAATCGAATTCAACTTGGCGTCTACCCAATAGACCCGTTTCTTGACCAAGTCCAGAGTAAGACCGTTGGGCCATTTGACGTCAAATGTGACAATGGCCTGCCTGTGCGATCCGTCCATCCCCGACTTTTCAATTTTGGGAACGCTACCCCAGTCCGTCCAGAACATCCATCCTTCGAGCGGATTAAGCGCAAGCGCTCTCGGTTCTTCCAATTCGTCTTTGATTAAAACTTTCCGCATTTTTCCATCGAAATTCGCTAGTTCTATTGTGTTCTTTTCCGTGTCCGTCCAATAAATGTGGTTGTAAATCCAGTCGACCGCGAGCCCGTCTGATGTGGTTGTATCGGTGCTGATCACCACGGACCTCTCATTTCCTTCGTCTATGGGAGCTTTGTAGATCTTTTTATCAGTGACGTCGCTCCAGAAGATCATTCCAGTTCGAAAAACGAAATCGAGAGCGGTGGCCGAATTCGTCTCGTTCACGATACTAGTCATCTCGTGGTGATCCAAAGATATCTTCCTGATATCGCGGCGACGAGCGAAAAGCAGGGAGGCGTGCCCCTCGATCGCCTTACACTTGGTCAGGTCACGTGGATCGCGCATATAACCTGCCTGGCAATCGCATTTGAAACCCCCTTTATCGTTGATGCAAATCTGAGAGCAACTGCCCGGGATTTCGCATTCGTTTATGTCTGCAAAGCGACAAACAAATTGTTGATATTGAAAGATCGACAAAGAAGCGGAGGTTTTTGTACCACTCTTTGATCACGACCCGACTTACCTTTGCAGGTCGTGTTGTCCACCAGCTTGTAACCATGGTTGCAATCGCAATAGAACGACGACGGGGTATCGACGCAACGTTGGTTGCAACCCCCGTTGTTTTCGTTACACTCGTTAATGCCACATCGACCTACCGGCTCGTCCTCGCCGTCGGGACAATGCTGGCGCTTATCGCAAACCTGAGATAAAGGTATGCAGTTGCCCCCGCCGCAGTCGAACTCCGTCCTAAAGTCGCACGTCGGGATCGGTGCACCTGTCGACAAAATCATATTTTCAATTTTGTCCTCGAAAGATTCATCGGACGCAAAAATTGATAGTTCGATTTCTGCGAATTAAAATTCCGGCCGGGGGCGAAGTCTTTGATAAGTCCGTGCTTATAACTACACCTACGTGGGTAATAATCAACGGGTATAACCTCACATACAATTATATCAGTACAGAAAGAGATCAAAAAGTCCACTCTAGTTGGCCATGAGATTGGGATTTATAAACTTGCTGTAGAAGTGTTTTAAGTTTCTTGTTGCCGATATATGTCTACACAAATTAAGAAAAAAAGGCAAAATAGAAGCCCCGCCCACCCACCCTACTTCAATTGTGATAATTTTTTCTATTCGTCGTGAGCCAAGGGGGCGAAACTTAACTGCAAAATCCGTATTTTTCTACGAGAAATTAAAAACGTTTTTGAGTATCATGTCAAAAATAAAGCCAAAGATTAGGCCCCACCCACACCCGCCCCGATCTCAATTCTCAATTGTGATGAATTTTTCATTCGTTGTCAGAACGAGGGGAGGGGCTTAATTGTAAGATCCATATCTGTCTACAAGACTTTGCCATTTTAAACATGTTTTAAGTTTCTTGTTGTGAAGAGACGGCTATGTATACTAAGAAAAAAAAAGGCAAAATATAAGCCGCGGCCTATCCCAATTGTGATGATTATGTATGTATATTAAGAAAAAATTAAATCCAAAGATTAAGCCCCACCCATACAGAAAGAGATCAAAAAGTCCGCTCTAGTTGGCCATGAGATTTATTTTTAAAATAGTGATGTTGGCAAGACCCAGACGTACATACACTGTTCATTTTGACAGTTAAGTGGGATTTATAAACTTGCTGTTGACGTTGAAGTTAGTAACTTTCATGTTCAACGTTTGCTTTTACCATTTTAGACGTGTTTTAAGTTCCTTGTTGCCGAAATAAGTCTACACAAATTAAGAAAAAAAGGCGAAATATAAGCCCCGCCCACCCACCCTACTTCAATTGTGATGATTTTTTTTATTCGTCGTGAGTCAAGGGGGCGAAGCTTAACTGCAAAATCCGTATTTTTCTACGAGAAATTAAAAACGTTTTTGAGTATCATGTCAAAAATAAAGCGAAAGATTAGGCCCCACCCACACCCGCCCCGATCTCAATTCTCAATTGTGATGAATTTTTCATTCGTTGTCAGATCGAGGGGAGGGGCTTAATTGTAAGATCCATATTTGTCTACAAGACTTTGCCATTTTAAACATGTTTTAAGTTTCTTGTTTTGAAAAGACGGCTATGTATATTAAGAAAAAAAAAAAAAAAGGCAAAATATAAGCCCCGCCCTATCCCAATTGTGATGAATATGTATGTATATTAAGAAAAAATTAAATCCAAAGATTAAGCCCCACCCATACAGAAAGAGATCAAAAAGTCCGGTCTAGTTGGCCATGAGATTTATTTTTAAAATAGTGATGTTGGCAACACCCAGACGTACACTGTTCATTTTGACAGTTAAGTGGGATTTATAAACTTGCTGTTGACTTTGAAGTTGGTAACTTTCATGTTCAACGTTTGCTTTTACCATTTTAGACGTGTTTTAATTGTCTTGTTGCCGAAATAAGTCTACACAAATTAAGAAAAAAAGGCAAAATAGAAGCCCCGCCCACCCACCCTACTTCAATTGTGATGATTTTTTTTATTCGTCGTGAGTCAAGGGGGCGAAGCTTAACTGCAAAATCCGTACTTTTCTACGAGAAATTAAAACCGTTTTTGAGTACCATGTCAAAAATAAAGCGAAAGATTAGGCCCCACCTATATTCGCCCCGATCTCAATTCTCAATTGTGATGAATTTTTCATTCGTTGTCAGAACGAGGGGAGGGGTTTAATTGTAAGATCCATATTTGTCTACAAGACTTTGCCATTTTAAACATGTTTTAAGTTTCTTGTTTTGAAAAGACGGCTATGTATATTAAGAAAAAAAAAAAAAAAAGGCAAAATATAAGCCCCGCCCTATCCCAATTGTGATGAATATGTATGTATATTAAGAAAAAATTAAATCCAAAGATTAAGCCCCACCCATACAGAAAGAGATCAAAAAGTCCGGTCTAGTTGGCCATGAGATTTATTTTTAAAATAGTGATGTTGGCAACACCCAGACGTACACTGTTCATTTTGACAGTTAAGTGGGATTTATAAACTTGCTGTTGACTTTGAAGTTGGTAACTTTCATGTTCAACGTTTGCTTTTACCATTTTAGACGTGTTTTAATTGTCTTGTTGCCGAAATAAGTCTACACAAATTAAGAAAAAAAGGCAAAATAGAAGCCCCGCCCACCCACCCTACTTCAATTGTGATGATTTTTTTTATTCGTCGTGAGTCAAGGGGGCGAAGCTTAACTGCAAAATCCGTACTTTTCTACGAGAAATTAAAACCGTTTTTGAGTACCATGTCAAAAATAAAGCGAAAGATTAGGCCCCACCTATATTCGCCCCGATCTCAATTCTCAATTGTGATGAATTTTTCATTCGTTGTCAGAACGAGGGGAGGGGTTTAATTGTAAGATCCATATTTGTCTACAAGACTTTACCATTTTAAACATGTTTTAAGTTTCTTGTTGTGAAGAGACGGCTATATTATTCTATATTAAAAAAAAAAAAGGCAAAATATAAGCCCCGGCCTATCCCAATTGTGATGATTATGTATGTACATTAAGAAAAAATTAAATCCAAATATTAAGCCCCACCCATACCTGCCCTGATCTAAATAGTAATGAAGTTTTCATTCGTTAGCAGAGGTAGGGGAGGAGCCTTATTGCAAAGGCCATATTTACTTAAAAAAATTTACCATTTTAAACGTGTTTTAAGTTTCTAAGAATAAAAAATTCATCACAATTGAGATGGGGTGGGTGGGCGGGGTTTATATTTTGTGTATAAAGAAATAAGTATTTTGCAGTTAAGCTCCGCCCTCTTGGTTCACGGTGAATAAAAAAAATAATCACAATTGAGATAGGGTGGGTGGGCGGGGCTTACATTTTGCCTTTTTGTTGTAATATGTGTAGACTTTTTTTTCACAACATGAAACTTAAAATATGTTTAAAATGGAAAATTTGTATAAAGAAATATCGATTTTGTAATTAGGGTCTGGCCCATAACTGCAAAATCCATATGTGCCGTTTTAATCATGTTTTAAGTTACTTGTTCTGAAAAAATGGCTATGTATATTAAGAAAAAAAAAAAAAAAAAAAAAAAAAAAAAAAAAAAAAAAAAAGAGCAAAATATAGGCCCCCCCACCCGCCCTATCTCAATTCTGATGATTTTTTTTATTCGTCGTAAGCCGAGAGGCGGCGCTTAATTGTAAATCCTTATTTTTCTACGAGAAATTACCATGTGAAATATGTTCTTAAGTAATCGTGTTATAGAAAAAAACTAAACGTATCAATTAAGCCCCACCCATCCGTCTCGATCTCAATCAGGGTGAACTTTTCATTCGTTGTCAATCAAGGGGCGGAGTCTAATTGCAAAATCGATACTTTCCTACAAAAATTTACCATGTTAAACATGTGAAAGCTAACGTACGGCAACGCAACGGCGAAAGTTAAAGTTAGTCACCTCTAACGTCACCCCAACCGCGTGCCAACTTTCAACGACGTCAACGGAAAGTTTATAAATCGACCTTTACGGTCAAACTATTATTTAAAAATAAGTTTCATTCATTTCCCACCAGAAGATTTTTTTTCTGTGGTCAACTTTTTACTTCACCTACGAGTTTCTAACCTAACAATCGACACAACAGTAGTCATTTTTCCGGACGACTTGATAAATTCGAATTCGCCGTCATAAATTAGAAATATCAGCTGAGAACGCTAATAATAACTTAGGGTGGGTCGTCGCCTTGTCAGAAAGGTTTTCCTTGGTTGTTCGGTTCGCAAGTTTAAAATATGGTCGCGCTCCTAGCGGCAAGACCCTGAACTAAACATTCAAACCGGTTAAATTCAAACCCAATTTTTCTCAATAATTCTTTTTTTTTTTTGTTGATTGAACTGTTTTTAGGAACTTAATATCATTAAGATCATATAACAATGTGTCAAAAAACAATCTGTTTTCATTCTCAGTGACTTTAACCTCACATGCGGAAATCGAGAAGCTGATTATAAAGACCGCACATCAAGTCGGCTTTGAAATTTCGTGAGTTTTGCCGCCTCGTTGTGATGACTGATGACTACTCGTAGCCTGTCACAAATGTCCATTATAATTTAACTTTTTAAGTGCGAAATCGTGCTTGCAGCAAAATAGGAGTCACTTTGAACATTTCTTGTAGAGGACCCGATTGAATACAACTAAAACCGTGATACTGGCACAATTTTCTTGAGATTGAAGGATTTAATTCGGACCACACAAGTAGTCCGTCGAAATTTGTTCCATTCGATTAAATTTTCGAATTTTCCGGAGCACCGTGGAAAATCCTTATCATTTTTCCAGGACGACTAAAATGAAATGTGACAGACAAATTTTGAGAAGTTTTAAAAAATTGACTTGGAACATTAATAATAAATATGGCGAATATACAAAGTTTTTAGGAGAGTGTATTGATTATTAGTTGTCTTGGCAACAACACGTGACTTATACTGCTGATAAAAAACCGTAAAAAGATATACCTGTTACGTAATTTGTGTAACAATGAGAACGCACTAATGCATTACAAAGAATTAATTAGTTTAAGTAAATAGATTATATGTTTGGTGTCAACGAAGCGGCAAATTCCCCTACCGATGTAGTGACAGACTTTCCACAGGCCACTCGATGCACGATCTTTTGTAATCATCTTACAATATAACGTTGTACACGTCGACATAACACGCTTCGAAATAAAGAAAGAAAGTCAGAAAATAGATAAAAACGGGAGTAAATCAGTGTGCGGAAAGTGCCTTGTACACACTGACGAATTTAACACGCCCGATGTCACCCAATAATTCTGTTGCATACGCTGTAGGCGACAACTGTTTTGAACTCTTTGAGGTCTTTCTGTTTTTCGATTGTTTAGAACGTTTTGTTCGTTTTAAATTGACCGATAAACAAGTTCGACAAATGGAATCGTTTCAGAAGAATGATGTGTGCACAGCGCTTTTTCGGAATGTTTTATTAGGAGAAAATTTATTTTTGTTTGAAGGCGTGTACAGTCGGGTCAAAAAAAATAGTCGCAATAATTGTGGTTATGGTGAACGCATTGTAGATTTATTGTCTGTTCAGTTGATTTAAATATGCCTTCGTTTTCAAAGTCGCTTAATTTAAATTTCCAATGAATTTGCTTAATTTGTCGTTTGAATGTAGTGTTTGAACATTATAACGTGATTGTTCCAGTTTTCTGAGTGGCAAACTGTCTTTGGAAATTTATGTCGGCTTAAATTAGTTATATTGAGAACTGTTTTAAATTTAATCAGTAATTGACGTGACCGTGGAAGTAACATATACCATATCGGAAATATGCTTCAATGTCTACGTCAATCATAATCAACTATAAACATCGCGTGACTACTAGTATTGTTTTTAAATCGACGATCACCTGACATTTGTCAATTATTCAAGTCAAAGTTGCTGATCATCCATTAAAGTTACAAAAATCGTACAATTCTGATAATGATATACAATTTTTAGATAGTGGGGTTTGAATTGAAATTTTCTGACTGATCCAGAGCTTTATCATTATTTTAATAACCAATCACAATGAAGTTAATACCTACGTAATAGAATCACCCAAATAAAAATGGCCAATCATGGACAGCTTTGTTACACTAATTATAAATTTAGCTACATAAAGGAAAGCTATGCATTTTAATGGGTAATTATTACAAATTTTAATTGGTACTGATAGGGTGTAAATGAAAAGCCTTTAAAGTATAATTTAATCACTTTTATTAACAATAAATTGGGCTTTTTCCGGCAATTAATTACTGAAGGCTTTCAATTGCCTTCAAATTTCATCGTTCATTCTCGATAAACGAATTTCATTCCTTTTGACCAAAAAGAAGAGACAATTTAGTTTTGCCAAAAATATCCAAGGGTTTTATGTTGATATTAATGACCTAGAGCGCGTTAACGTCGACGTTACCGCAACTGACCTCGAACTAGCCAACCAGAGCCGAGTTCCTTTCATAAATGTTAGACGTTTGAGTGGAAAAGTCGGCAGTTATGTCTTTTGTGTGTTATAATTAGAACTTTATCTTGCTTAAAGTTAATAATGGATACTGTAACGAAATAAAAACTTTTCCCGGCGGGAATCTTGTTGAAAAACTAGAAATGAAACGAAATGGACGGCCTACGTGAAAAGAACTCGACTTTTTGGTGTGTTTATCATCTGGATGAAAGCTTTTTCGGTTGATTTCCGGTTTTAATGAGAAAATAATAAAACAGGTAGGTACATTGATTTGGGTGAAAAAAGGTGTACAATGGTTTTATTTTATCGAAAAACTTGGCAGACGGTATCGACGCGGCGAGTAGAAAGTTGTCTTGTAAATGATTAACCTACTGAAAAATTCGTGTTTTTTTTGAGTAAATTTTGTAAAATTTTCGTCAATTACGTGTGTTTTATTCCAGTTTGTGTCGGTTCTCAAATCGAGCGAATGCAAGTTCAAACGTAACAAAAACTTACCGCAATCGAGTTCATCGCTGGCATCTGGACATTCCGGATGTCCCGAACAATGTAAATGGCCGGCAATACAAGATCGGTCTTTACATTGGAACTGATCCGCCCTGCAGGTGATGTTCTGACAATTGTCAGGTGACTCGTCCGACCCATCTGGACAATCCCTTGTCCCGTCACACAGCCACCCCTTGTGAATGCAAGTCAAGCGATCTCCACATTCGTATTCTTCCGCCAGACAGAAGGAGCTTGTGATGGCGATTTTGGGACACCCCTGAAACGGCAATTTCCTTCGTTAGATGGATTTCCCGAGCCGGGGACAATCGTACCTGTTCATCTTTACCGTCGACGCAATCGTACTCCCCGTCGCATCTCCATTTAGTCGAGATGCAAAAATTTTCAGCACACTGGAACTCCGAATCCGTGGAACAAGTGACAGGCGGACAATCCTTCTCGTCCGAACCGTCTCCGCAGTCGTTATCTAAATCGCAAACCCATCTTTTCTGTATACATTTGCCGTTTTTACAAGTGAATTCGTCAGATCTACAAGTCTCATCTGAAATAATTTAACGGTATTTGCATGGGTTTTTCGAGGGGCGCTAGATTAGATCTTACTGCAAGCTTTCTCGTCGCTGCCATCCGAACAGTCGCGGTTGTCGTCGCACATCCACGTTAGAGGGACGCATTCACCTGCCGCCGAGCGACATGTAAATTCGTCAACACCGCAAACTTTTTGTTCTGAAAGAAATTTGTCAAGTTTTTTCATCGATTTTGTCAAACTTACTTACGGCAAACATGTTCGTCTTCGTCGCTGCCGTCGTTACAGTCTTGTTCGTGATCACATTGCCAATGTCCTGGTATACAACGCCCGCTGTTGCATCGGAACTCGTTTTTTGCACATGTTGTGTTTTCTGGAAAAGGTACAATAAATGAATAAAAAATTCAAAATACTAAACTAAATGAAAGAGGACATCGCCGCAAGAATGCTGAATAAGGCCGGATTCCCGTCAGACCGTCTCCGGTTTCCGGCCACCGGTCCACCCACCGTGACACAGGACGACAGCTTTAACATTTTTTTTTTCTTTATTACCTACATATAATCCATTTTTCTCCTACACTTCTACGCACAACTTTACAAAATAATAATAATAATATTCATTTTTGACAACAAAATGAGTTTTTAAACATTCAGTAGCGGCAAAATTCAAATAAAATTAAATGGTGACGTCACGGGCCTAGTTGTCCTTATTGGCTACGAACCACACCCACCGTAATATTCATCATTTATCACATGGTAGGTCCACCAGACGAAGACTCCTATTGGGTTCGTGACGTCATGTTGGCGGAAATTTTAAAATGATAAAAATTTTAGATTTTTACTCCCCGAGCCACACCCAAATAGTGTCCGACCGAAACTTCCTTTCATTGTAATTTTTCATTGTCATTTCTAAGTATAAGACTACGTTTCTGTCAATTTTAGTTGCAGATGAGTGCGAGTTTATAAAAATCAAATCGATCTAAGGTTATCTTGACAGAACTTCCCTTGTTCCTGAGGTACAGTACAAGATATTCAGCTTTTTAGAAAACCTATGAAATTTGCAAAGTTTTGAGATGACGTCATCAATTTGGACTTGATTAACGAGTTGCGAGATTATTTGATTCTGTAGTTACAAGTTAGTTTGCAAAACGTTACAAAATTTGTTTTTTTCCAAAATCTGGATGTCTAGGGTAAAAAATCAGGATGGATTCATAAACTACAAGTACCGGAGTACGTTATTATAGAAATTATAAATCAAATTTGTTATGCAAAATTTGAAATCACGTCATCACATTGTTGTGGGGACGAGTAGACAAATTTCGGTCAGCGTTTTACCATTTACACATTACTTTTAATAAACATATAAAATTTGACAATAATCGGTCCAGGAGTTTTGGAGATTATCTTTCCAGACAGAAGCGCGAGACCCACTTTTTACTTCCCGAGCGTAAGGGTTTTTACGTTTTCTCTATCTATCTGTCTGTCTGTCTGTCTGTCTGTCCGTCTATCCGTCCGTCCGTCTGTCCGTCCGTCCGTCTGTTTGCCGTCTGTCCGAATTTTTATTATACAGATAATCTCCGAAACTACTGACTACTGGACGGATTGTTGTATGAAATTTATGAATAGTACGTACTAAGATAAAACTGATTGTAGCATATGACATCCTCCAACAAAACAGAATGTGTGTGGATGGGGCTAGTACTTGGTAAGAAAAAGACTGATTTTTGCAAATAACATACCCTCTAAGTAAAAGAGGGTGGGTGGGCGGGGCTATCATTTTATAGTGATACGACTGATTTTGACATTTTTGATATTTTCACCCACTTTTCAAGCATTTTCGAAAATTAGCTAGACATTTGAAAAGTTACATTTTTTACTTTTTTCACATGCTAGATTCTATAATTTTCCACCCCCACTCGACAGAAGAACATAATTAGCCCCGCCCACCCGCCCCATCCCTTTTACTGATTAATTTTATCTGCTCTTAACGCAATGAATGATCTTTTACTGAACAGAAACAAAGTTAGTCGTGAAAATGAGAAGAGCGCGGGTGGGCGGGGCTAGTGTCTGCTAAGATAAGACTGATTTTGGCAAATGACATATCTTCCAAAAAAATAGAGGGTGGGTGGGCGGGGCTAGCATTTTATAAGATAAGACTGATTTTGGCAAATGGCATTACTTTCAAAAGATGGAGGGCAGATGGGCGGGGCTAGTAGTTGCTACGATAAGACTGATTTTAGCAAATAACATACCCTCTAAGAGAAATAGGGCGGGTGGGCGGGGCTATCATTTTGTAGTGATAAGACTGATTTTGACACTTTTGATATTTTCACCCATTTTTCAAGCATTTTCGAAAATTAGCTAGACATTTGAAAAGTTACATTTTTTACTTTTTTCACATTCTAGATTCTATAACTTTCCACCCCCGCTCGACAGAAGAACATAATTAGCCCCGCCCACCCACCCTATCCCTTTTACTGATTAATTTGATCTTTTCTTAACGCAATGAATGATCTTTTATTGAACAGAAATAAAGTTAGTCGTGAAAATGAGAAGAGTGCTTGTGTCTGCTAAGATAAGACTGATTTTGGCAAATGGCGTAACTTCCAAAAAAATAGAGGGCGGGTGGGTGGGGCTAGCATTTTATAAAATAAGACTGATTTTGGCAAATGGCATACCTTCAAAAAAAAATAGGGGGCGGGTGGGTGGGGCTAGCATTTTATATGATAAGACTGATTTTGGCAAATGGCATAACTTTAAAAAAAATGGAGAGCAAGTGGACGGGGCTAGTAGTTGCTAAGATAAGACTGACTTTAGCAAATAACATACCCTCTAAGAGAAAATAGGGCGGGTGGGCGGGGTTATCATTTTGTAGTGATAAGACTGATTTTGACATTTTTGATATTTTTACCCATTTTTCAAGCATTTTTGAAAATTAGCTAGACATTTGAAAAGTTACATTTTTTACTTTTTTCACATTCTAGATTCTATAACTTTCCACCCCCGCTCGACAGAAGAACATAATTAGCCCCGCCCACCCACCCTATCCCTTTTACTGATTAATTTTATCTGTTCTTAACGCAATGAATGATCTTTTACTGAACAGAAATAAAGTTAGTCGTGAAAATGAGAAGAGCGCGGGTAGGCGGGGCTAGTGTCTGCTAAGATAAGACTGATTTTGGCAAATGGCGTACCTTCCAAAAAGATAGAGGGTGGGTGGGCGGCTAGCATTTTATAAGATAAGACTGATTTTGGCAAATGGCCTAACTTTCAAAAAAATGGAGGGCAGGTGGGCGGGGTTAGTAAGTGCCAAGACTGATTTCAGCAAATAACATACCCTCTAAGAGAAAGAGGGCGGGTGGGCGGGGCTAGCATTTTATAACATGATTGATTTTGACACTTTCGAAAATTAGCTAAAAACATTTGAAATTCATTTTCAATTCGAATTTTCACGACATTTCATTTTCCATTCCTACTCGACAGAAGAACATAATTAGCCCCGCCCACCCACCCTATCGCTTTTACTGATTAATTTTATCTGTTCTTAACACAATGAATGATCTTTTGCTGAACAGAAATAAAATTAGTCGTTAAAATGAGAAGAGCGGGGGTGGGCGGGGCTAATGTCTGCTAAGGTAAGACTGATTTTGGCAAATGGCGTACCTTCCAAAAAGAAGGGTGGGTGGGCGGGGCTAGCATTTTATAACATAAGACTGATTTTGGCAAATGGCATACCTTCCAAAAAGATAGAGGGAGGGTGGGTGGGCGGGGCTCGAAAAAAGAACATAATTAGCCCCGCCCACCCACCCTATCTCCATTTCAGTGGTTGATTTTATGTGTTCTTAATGAAATGAATTATCTTTCCCTGAACAGAAATAAAATTCTTCGTTAAAATGAGACTGATTTTGTCAACGGACACTTACTCTATAAGAAAATAAAGGGCAGGTGGGCGGAGTTAGTACCTTCCAAGATAAGATTGATTTTGGCAAAGGACTTACTCTCTAAGAAAATAAAGGGCGATTGGGCGGGCAGTCTTATCTTAACAATAATAACAATAAGTACTGGCCCCACCCACCCGCCCTCTATTTTCTTAGAGGGTATGTCATTTGCTAAAAACAGTCTTGTCTTACCAAGTGCTAGCCCCGCCCACCCACCCTTTATTTTCTTAGAGGGTTTGTCATTTGCCAAAATCAGTCTTATCCAACAAAGTATTAGCCCCGCCCACCCGCCCTCTATTTTCTTAGAAGGTATGTTATTCACCAAAATCAGTCTTATCTTAGCAAGTACTAGACCCCCCCCCCCCGCCCTTTATTTTATTAGAGGGTATGTCATTCGTCAAAATCAGTCTTATCTTAGCAAGTACATTAGATACATATTTTTATTTTCGCAAAATCAATCTTTTCATTTTTCGAAAGAGCTGGATTTGACAAGCTGTGCTTTATGGGCGAGGAAAGTAATTTCCGACCAATTTTTTTTCTAAAAATCTGGACGTTTCGGGTAAAAACTCAACACGGCGTCATAAACTACATTTGTAGGACTATATTATTTTATAGCACCCTTTAAGTCAAACTGGCTATTGTATAACTTGATTCAGTTCACAGCTCCTTTATGGCAACAATGGACAGTAATAATCCTTGCGGTTCGGGTCCATAAAGCTTACAACAGCCAGTTTGACTTATAAGGGTGGTTTGGCTTAAGCCGCTTAAGTCAAAAGTTTTACAAGGTGTATGTCAAGTGAGTTTACTGTAGTATAAATACAAAATTTAACAACAATCGGCCTAGTAGTTTCCGCGATTATTTGTCTAATAAAAGCCCGGGACTACAGACAGATGGACAGACGGACAGACAGACAGAAAAATCACTGGAAAGGCCCACTATACTTGCAAATACTATTATAAAGTTGTTCTAAACAAAAATTAAAGTAGAATCAAAATTAATATCACATACCTTGCAAATTAGTTTAAACTCTTCACACATATTATGAATCGGTGAATTATAGATTTTGTGTGAAAACTGATTGCTGACGGGAACGAAATCTGATGTTTTCTAAGACACAATTTATTTTATTGTTGACCAAGTTATATAGAAATTTGATTCCTATACAGTTCCGTCGAGTTTGTAGTGTGACAAAGTTAAATCTACTCAATAGAAAATGATGAGCGTAACCCCCGATACGATATAGATCAAATAAAAAAAGAATTTTAAAATCTCCTTCGAATAGATTCGATGTGTACCATATATCTATTTTAAGATCGAATTAAACTAAAGTAGAACAATCATAAGGTATTTTTTATATTTGATTCGATTTAAGAGTGTATGTAGTGAATTCAAATCATTCAATACAATCCTTAAATTACTGAATCAATTTTCAGG